TCACCAATCAAACTCCAATTTGAGCCCAGAGCTTTGCTCCTGGCCTCTTGGTTGTCTTCTTAAACCTAGAGCTCTAGGCTACCTGAGATTACTAAATGATCCCGGGGCACAGCATGCCCTCAGCCCACCTCTTTAAATGCATGCAGACTTTGTTCTGGCTTGAGAGTAGTTCCTTTGGCAAGCTGAATCACGTTTTAAAAGGTGTTCTTATTGTTAACATTCTTAGGTGCATCTTAGGTGCATTAGCAAAATAATTTCTATGATTTAGTCTGTCATATTGCCAAAAATAGAGGTCTATAAATTCTGGGGTGTCTGGCCGGCTAAGTTGGAGAAGTATTCGACTCTTCATCTCGGGGTCGTCAATTCGAGCCCTACACTGAGCGTACGGATTACCAAAAAAAAAAATAAATTAAAAAAAAAAAAAAAAAGAGGTCTATAAAGTCTTCCTAGATATACCAAAACTTTGGGAGCGACCTATCCCTCCACTATCGTATCTAATTCTCCTCCAGAAATTAATGACCACTTCCCATCCACCTATTTTTTTTTTTTTTAAGAATCATAAATTTTATTAAAGTCCAATATTATATTGGAATGAAAGGAACAGATGCAATTTATAATGAAAAGAGTCCCCCCCGGACCCTCAAATCTGTAAGCCAGATGCCGGCTGAAAAGTCTACTGAGCTACAAACATTGAGTCATTGTTTTATTTTTTTTTTTTATTTATTTTATTTTTTTTTTTTTTATTCATAACATAACTTAGGTTTTATTTTTTTTTTATTTTTTTTATTTATATATGAAATTTATTGTCAAATTGGTTTCCATACAACACCCAGTGCTCATCCCAAAAGGTGCCCTCCTCAATACCCATCACCCACACTCTCCAGTTCCATCCACGTTGCTACAAAAGGCCATATTTCATTTTTTCTCATTGCCACGTAGTATTCCATAGTGTATATAAACCACAATTTCTTTATCCATTCATCAGTTGATGGACATTTAGGCTCTTTCCATAATTTGGCTATTGTTGAGAGTGCTGCTATGAACATTGGGGTACAAGTGCCCCTATGCAGCAGTACTCCTGTGTCCCTTGGATAAATTCCTAGCAGTGCTATTGCTGGGTCATAGGGTAGGTCTATTTTTAATTTTCTGAGGAACCTCCACACTGCTTTCCAGAGCGGCTGCACCAATTTGCATTCCCACCAACAGTGCAAGAGGGTTCCCGTTTCTCCACATCCTCTCCAGCATCTAGAGTCTCCTGATTTGTTCATTTTGGCCACTCTGACTGGCGTGAGGTGATATCTGAGTGTGGTTTTGATTTGTATTTCCCTGATGAGGAGCGACGCTGAACATCTTTTCATGTGCCTGTTGGCCATCCGGATGTCTTCTTTAGAGAAGTGTCTATTCATGTTTTCTGCCCATTTCTTCACTGGGTTATTTGCTCTTCGGGTGTGGAGTTTGGTGAGCTCTTTATAGATTTTGGATACTAGCCCTTTGTCCGATATGTCATTTGCAAACATCTTTTCCCATTCCGTTGGTTGCCTTTTTAGTTTTGTTGGTTGTTTCCTTTGCTGTGCAGAAGCTTTTGATCTTCATAAGGTCCCAGTAATTCACTTTTGCTTTTAATTCCCTTGCCTTTGGGGATGTGTCGAGTAAGAGATTGCTACGGCTGAGGTCAGAGAGGTCTTTTCCTGCTTTCTCCTCTAGGGTTTGGATGGTTTCCTGTCTCACATTCAGGTCCTTTATCCATTTTGAGTTTATTTTTGTGAATGGTGTGAGAAAGTGGTCTAGTTTCAACCTTCTGCATGTTGCTGTCCAGTTCTCCCAGCACCATTTGTTAAAGAGACTGTCTTTTTCCCATTGGATGTTCTTTCCTGCTTTGTCAAAGATGAGTTGGCCATACGTTTGTGGGTCTAGTTCTGGGGTTTCTATTCTATTCCATTGGTCTATGTGTCTGTTTTTGTGCCACCATCCACCTATTTTCAACAAAGAAATTGAGCATACCCTCCCTCTTCTCTTGATCTTCCACACCCCAGTAGAACTTAGTGGTTCTAACTTCTAAATATCTTTTAAATGTGTTCTCTTCTTCATTCCGGCTACTGACTTTCATCATTTCTTTTCTGCATCACTGAAACAACATAACATTTCCATGCTTACCTCCCTCAAATGCATACTTCACATAGCTGCCAGCAAAACCTATTTAAAATAAATATCTGACTGGGGCGCCTAGGTGGCTCAGTCGGTTAAGCATCCAACTTCAGCTCAGGTCATGATCTCATGGTTCATGAGTTTGAGACCCGCATCAGGCTCTCTGTTGTCTGCACAGAGCCCACTTCGGATCCTCTGCCTCCTTCCCTGTCTCTCTCTCTCTCTTAGGCCCTCCCCAGCTTGTGTGCACTTCTGCTTGGTCTACCCTCTAGAGGCCCTCACAATTCACCCCAGCTTCCGTGGCTACTTGTCAGCTCTTTATCTTTCAGAAACCAGGTCAAGAATCTTCCAGGAAACTAGCAAGCAAATTCTTAGTGTGCCCTTTGTTATATCACTGCTTGATGTGCTTAACTGTTACTGCACTTACCACAGTGTACTGCCATCACTTATCTGTTGTCTGGATTAGACTATGAACTCCTTTTTTTTTTTTTTTCCAACGTTTATTTATTTTTGGGACAGAGAGAGACAGAGCATGAACGGGGGAGGGGCAGAGAAAGAGGGAGACACAGAATCGGAAACAGGCTCCAGGCTCTGAGCCATCAGCCCAGAGCCCGACGCGGGGCTCGAACTCCCGGAACGCGAGATCGTGACCTGGCTGAAGTCGGACGCTCAACCGACTGCGCCACCCAGGCGCCCCGTGAACTCCTTTTAAAGTCAGAGGACTCACCTCTTTATCCATGGTACACATTACATGAGGTACTTAATACCTGTCAGATAAATGTATTTCTTTTTTTTAAAATTTTTTTTTTCAACATTTATTTATTTTTGGGACAGAGAGAGACAGAGCATGAATGGGGGAGGGTCAGAGAGAGAGGGAGACACAGAATCGGAAACAGGCTCCAGGCTCTGAGCCATCAGCCCAGAGCCTGACGCGGGGCTCGAACTCACGGACCGCGAGATCGTGACCTGGCTGAAGTCGGACGCTTAACCGACTGCGCCACCCAGGCGCCCCAATAAATGTATTTCATTTCTACAATACCTTTACAACTGACTCCTATGTCCCACTGCCGCCATCAGAATTCAGGCCCTTTCTTCCTCTATCCTCATACATGTCCTTCTGCACCTAGTTTGTCAGCCTTCCTCACGTCACCCCAGTTCTCTCTGAAACACAGTTGCGACCAGGTCCTACTTACCCTCAGAAACCTACTGCAACAGGCCCCGCCTCATTTTCACCTGCTGCGCCAGCAGCTCATAGCAACCCAAGGATCTGCCACAGCGACAGCTCAGCTGGGACCTTAGGGCAGGCAGTACCCCACCAGCCTAACCCTCTGACTTCTCACTCACCATCTAATGAAGCTTATTAGCATTAGACACCTCTCCAGACCCAAACTGTGGTGTGATGGTGTTGGTGATATTCTCCAATTCTGGCCCTCCCCATTTCAACTATATGGAAAACTCTATTTTACAGCACTGGAGTTCCGGGGGCTAGGGGAGGGGGAAGATAGGAATGACACGAAGGGGGAATTATTGTCTACAGAGAACTTAAGGCCAACAATAAAACCGAATAAAGGTCAGTCTGTTTTTTATGATCATCATGAACCAGCAATTTTTTTTTTTTTAATGTTTGTTTATTTTTGAGAAAGAGAAAGCTCACGTAAGAATGGGGCAGGGCAGAGAGAGACAGGGACAGAGGATCCAAAGCAGGCTCTGCGCTGACAGCAGAGAACCCGATGCAGGGCTCAAATGCACAAACTGTGAGATCACGACCTGAGCCAAAGTCAGATGCTTAGCTGACTGAGCCACCCAGGTGCCCCAAGAACACCAATTCCAAACAATGTAAGCTTTATTACTATTTCATTAATAATATTATTACTAATATTTTATTTCTCCCTGCCAAGGCAGATAGATCCTCCACCAACAGTCCCTGGTGAACCACTGGTATTCAGGCATCGTGCCCTTGCAAACATTTAAGCGACCCCCAAAAGAGAATTAATCTCCTCTTCCTAAACCCTTAATATACATCTGAGTCTCTGACAAGGCTATAAGCACATTAAGGGGAGCTTACCTATAACCCCTAGTACAGACATTCGTGAACACACTTACCCTTCTAGCCAGCCGCGCTTCCAAAGCTTGCCTCAGCTGCGCAGTAAGGTCCTCAGGGAAATGCGCCCAGTGCCAGCTCTACTATGTTGCTACGAGAAACAAACCATCATGCCTTACACTCACCCTTCAGACCAAACTAACTGCATACAGAATATAATTTAAACACCGAAGGTTGGCATTTACAGAACATCATGATCTGGAACATCATTCTAAATCCTACTGCAGTTGACCCTTAAGTGACAAGAGGGTTAGGGACACTGACACCTTACACAGTCAGAAATCTGTGTGACTCCCCAAAAACTGAACTACTAACAGCCTACCAGTGACCAAAAGTTTTACTGATAACCTAGACAGTTAATTAGCATGTATTTTTTATAAGATTATTTTGCTGTATTTACAATAAAGCTAGAAAAAAAATATAAAAACCCCAAAGAAGAAATACATTTACAGTACTATACTGTATACATTGAAAAAATCCACATATTAACTGGACCCGTGCAACTGCTGTTTGAAGGTCAAATGTATTTAACACTCTACTTATACCAAACCACTCATACTCAATGTATTTCTGTCTCTTACATGAGTCTTTTTTGTATCACAGTACTTTGTAATTTACGTCACTGCTAAGCCCTAGAAGGAAACTTAAATAGTCCTATTTTAGTGCTATATATGCAAAAGACACCAAGTACTACTGAATAAAACTATGGACAGTTAATACATAAAAGACTACAATACATTTTTATTATATAGCATTTTATTTTTAAAAAAACTTTATTTCATAGAATACATTTTCACATTAGAGATTCCTACAGTGGGAAAATAACAATTTATTACTTACAGTTTTATATTTGTAGAACATTAGGACAAGTAAAATAAACACATTTGAGGATTAAGTCTCAGTTCAGAATCTGTAATATTTTGATACATCTATAAGGGTACCTCTTCCCTACATGGAATTTTTCTACACTCAGAAGCTCTCCAGGCTCCTCCTCCCAAGCGTTAGAAACGAGTAATGTCAAAGAGCAGGATTTCCTAACTTTAAAATTTTCCTAGGACATGTAACCATTAATAACTGGTATAACAGAGAGGGAAGTTTTCAAAAATTAAACACGGACTGATTTTCTGCAAAGTCTTTTACTTGTGAATGAACAGTCTTTCCCTTTCACCATCCTTCCCAGGACAAACATAGACGTTTGATCAGGTATTGATAGTAATAAAGCTGAATTCCCTTTAAGAATCTGAAAAGCTAACAGGCAAAAGCTCATATGCAATGTTTAGTTATGCTGAGTCTTGTGAGAAGCTGGGAGACAACCCCATAAACTCACCAGAACAAGGAACTCAGTCCCCAAATTACTTGGATACAATTTCTCTCAAACCTTTTCCTCAAAGACTGAATTCTAAAAATAACCAGGCGATTAGGAGAAGAGGTGTGTCTCACCAATGGACTTATCTGTTACTTCCTCCTTATTGTGAGTTCAATGGCATGACAGAGCAGAGGCAAAGAGGTGTACAATCAATTCTCGTGGTATTAAGTCAAAAAGGTCAGAGCTTCCACAGCATGGCAACAGCTTTGCAGATGCCCACATCATGATAGTTGAAATAACACAGCCCAGCAAAGGTTAAAGCTGACAGGGCCAAAACTCCTGCCTTGGCGGTTTTCTGCAAAGCATCTCCGTGAACGTAGTCAGTAACCACTTGTCCAAGGCCCCTAAAGAAAAAAATAACAGTACAAAAGAAAGCCAAACAGCTAACTTGACTGCAAAACAATAATTATCAGGTTCAAAGTACAACTCAAGGTCATAGAATCATAAACCAAAATGAAGGAATCAAGAGTTTCCCAGTAATATAATAAAGACATCTCTATTCTTCAGATTCAATTTTCCAGAGTTACTTCTATCAAAGACAGTAGTTAACTGCCACTCTATATACAAAATCTTGGTTGTTGTTTGTTTGTTTAATTAAAACAAATGCTCCAGGGGCACCGGCCTAGGTCAGTCGGAGAAGCGTGTGACTCTTTGATCACAGGGTAGTAAGTTCAAGTCCCACACTGGGTGTAGAGATTAATAATAAATAAATAAACAAACAAACTTTAAAACAAATGCTCTATAGAATTTTTCATTAATTAAAAAAAAAATTTATGAAGCAGATATTATGTGCCAGAACCTGTTATAGATGTTGAAAGAACAGCAAATAAGACAGCATCCTTGCCTTTATGGAACAGATTCTAGTGAAGGAGAAAATAAATATGTATGTGCTATGAGAAAATATTTTAGAAAGGATGACCTGAATGAGAAGAACCTTCTAAACAGAAGTGACAATGACCTTGGCATCTTTGAGGAATAGTAAAAAGACTAGTGTGACTGGAGGACCAGATCATAACGGAAAGGCAGATCACACAGGGCCCTGAAGGTCATAATAAAAGTTTATTATTTCAGGGGTGACTGGCTGGCTCAGCCCATGGAGCACATGACTCTTGATCTCGGGGTTGTGAGTTTGACCCTCACATAGGGTACAGAGATTACTTAAAGATAAAAATCTTAAAAAAAAAGTCTGAATTTCATATGAAATGTAATGGGACACCACAGACGTGTTTTTAAGTAGGGAGTAACCTAAGTAAGGAGTGACCTAATTTTACTTTTTTTTATTTTTTTATTTTTTTTATTATTTTTTTTAACGTTTATTTATTTTGAGACAGAGAGAGACAGAGCATGAATGGGGGAGGGTCAGAGAGAGACAGGGAGACAGAATCTGAAACAGGCTCCAGGCTCTGCGTTGTCAGCACAGAGCCCGACGCGGGCTCAAACTCAGAGACTGCGAGATCACGACCTGAGCCAAAGTCGGACGCTCAACCGACTGAGCCACCCAGACGCCCCTAATTTTACTTTTTTAATAACAGCTTTAGTGAGATATAATTCACATACCATAAAATTAACACTTTTTAAAGTGAGCAAGCACTATGCCCAATGTGGAGCTTGAACTCACGACCCTGACATCAGGTACCAGGCTCTATCCACTGCCCCAGCCAGGCACGCCCCATAAAATTAACCCTTTTTCAAGTGTACACTTCACTGGTTTGTAGTGTATTCACAAAGTTGTGCAACATCATCACTATTTAATTCTCATCACCCCAAAAAGAAACCCTGCATCCATGAGCTCATTATTCAACAACTAACTTGTTTTCTATTTCTATCTACAGACTTGCCTATTCTATACATTTTATATAAATGAAATCATACAACATGTGGCCTTTTGTGTCAAGTTTCTTTCACTTCACATTTTCAAGGTTCATCAACATTGTGGCACGTACTTGGGTTGTTTTTGCTTTTTGGTTATTGTAAATTACACTGTATGAATATTACTATTCAAGTTTTTGTGTGAGGATATGTTTTCAATTTTGAGGGGTGTACACATAAAAGTGGAATCGATGAGTTATATGGTGACTGTAACTTTTTGTTAGAACGGCCAAACTGTTTTCCAAAGCGGCTCCAACTTCTTAAATTCCCAGCAGACATAGGACGACTCCCAACTTCTCCACATCCTTGAAACACTTGTCATCGCCCATTTTTTTGATTAGAGCCATCCTATTAAGTATGAAGTGGCAGCTCATTGTGGTTGTGATTTGCATTTCTCTAATAAAAAATGGTGTTGAGCATTTTTTCATGTTGCTTATGAGCCATTTGTGTATCTCCTAAAAAGAAATGTAATTTTTCTTTTAAAAAAGACCACCTTGGCTGCAGTATGGTGAATGGAGAGCGCACGTAGCAGAAGAGGGGGCAAGAACAGAAACAGAAAACCAGTTAGGAGGCAAATAAAGTAGCCTCAGCAAGATTGTTGGCTCAACCTAGGCTGGTGACGGGGGAGATGGTGTGAAGTGACAATTTAGACAGGCTATGTTTTGAAGAGGGAACAAACAGAAAGAGCTGATGGACTGGATGTGGGATAAGACAAAAAGAAGTATCTGCAATAACTCCTAGGATTTTTGGCTTGAGCAACTATGATTTAATTGAGTTAGGGAAGAACAGGAAAGGAGGCAGCTTTAAGGGAAAATCAAGAGAGATTTGGGGCGGACAAGAGTGGCTTTTGGCAATGTTAAATTTGAGGTGACTATTACACATTCAAATGGACTCCACTGGTTAGACAAGAGGAATCACAGGACTGCAGATCAAGAAGAGGTCAGATCTGAGCTCGCCTCAGGAAATTAGAGAAATTAAGAAAGGAAAACTGAGCCCAGGATTCAGGGCTTTCTCGTTCACACGTCAGACAAGGGGAGAAGCTGGCATCAGAGACTGAGAAGGTGCAGCTAGTGAGGTGGAGGAAAATGGTGGGCACAGGGTCTACAGAGCCAAAAAAAATTATTTAAGGAGGGGATGGCCAATTAAGTTGAACGGTGCTGAGAGTTCAAGTAAGAGGAAGACCGAGAACAGACAGATAGATTTGGAAAAATGAAGGTTTTGGGGGATATTGGTAAGAATTACTTCAGTTATGTAGTTAGAATAAAAGCCCAATTAATGTGGATTAAAAGAGAATGGATGCTGAGGAATTAATGCACAATTATAGACATTCTTTTAAGTCATCCTGTGTGTATGTGTGTGTGTGTGTGTGTGTGAGAGAGAGAGAGACAGAGAGAGAGAGAAAGAGAGAGAGAGAGAGAAGGAAGAATTAGTAAGGTAACTGAAGAGTAGAATAAAAAATATATATAAATATATTACGTTAGAATTCTTAATCTGACTTTTCGTTGATTTAGATGGATCTCCTGCCAAGAACCACATATTAGAGAAATATTCCTGTACTTGTGATCTAATATTTCATATGCAATGGAATCCTGTATTTTGAAAGGTCTGTAGATTAAAGGGTAATTCCCCTGACCAACCCTAGAAAATTAGGTAAGCAAAATCCCTTGTAATACTAATCTACAAAATCATTCTGATAGATCACTTAACCTTCCCCGGGGTTTAGTGTCCACATCTGTAAAATAACAGGGTTGGTTAAGATATTCCCAAGTCCTTTCAGTTCTAACAACCTAAAAATGCTTCCCCTGCCCACAATATCATGTTGTCCTTATAAAACAACATAAAATGAACTCAAAGATCCCAACTGTTATTTACAAACTTCTCAGAGGGTTCATTAACTTAGAAAGTCTAACAAACTACACTGGATAAAATAAATAGAAGCTGGGAATTCACTCATTCAATAAGTATTTACTTAGTGCGTGTCAGGGACTGCTCTAGGCATTAAATATATATAACAACAAACAAAAACAGCCAAAAGTCTGTTTTCTTGTTTTAAAATGGGCAACCCTTAACTACCGTGTCTAAGGATGCACAACTGAGTGATAAAACCACACTAAAATGTAAGGGAGTGATTACTATAAAAACCAGGATAATGGTTCCTGGTTGGGAGGATGCTGAACAGTTATGACTGAGGTAGAACACAAGGAAGAAGCTTCCGGAGTAGGTGGCAACGTTCAATTTCTTGACCTGGGCAGCATTACCCTTGCAATAATTCATTAAGCCATGGATGTGATTCTTGTAATTTTCTGTATCAGTGCTTTCATTCTAATGAGGGGAAACAAGGAATACACAAAATGATAAATAGATGATACAGTATAGTAGAAGGTAATAAGCACTACTGAGAAAAATAAAACAGGGGAGAGGGATAAGACATACTGGGAAGGACACTATAACTGTGAATAAGTGGTTAGAGAAGGCTTCATTGAGAAGGTGACAGTTCAGATGTGAAGGAAATGAGGAATAAGCCATGTAACTAGAGAAAGAGAGTGTCAGGCAGAAGCAAAGTAGAGTCTTGAGGCCTGGAGTGTCCCTGGAGTGTCCAAGAATTATCATGAGCACCGGTGTGAATGACAGAGAGAGTAGCTGGAAATTCGGGAAGAAAGAGAGCCAGACTACCTTGGGTCGGTAGACCATCATGAGAATTCTGACTTTTAGCCTGAGGAAGGTTAAAGGACTGCAAAGTGTTTTGAGAAGGAGAATGTCTTCATCTGACTTAATATTTTAAAAGGATCACTGAGACTGCTGTGTTGGGAATAGACAGAAGGAGGACCAGTTAGGTGACTACTACTGAAACCAAAGACGATGACCAGGTTTGAGGCATGCACAATTAGAAGAGTGCAAATGCCATTAATTCAGATCGGCAAGAGTGCTAGAGGAAGAGATCTGGGGAGTCGATGAACTCAGTTTTATAACATGCTATATTCAAAATGCCTATTAGACATGGAAGAGAAGACATCAAACAGGCAGGCAGATACACAAATCTGGGCATACAAATACTTTATAGGTTTTAAAGTTGTCTACAGGTCTGAGTATCTCAATCAACTTCTCCCTATCTGCAGTAACGGGACAAGCTCGTGGCAAATAAATTTAGCAACGTAACACTGAAGGGTCTGCTGTACTTGCCAGTGACTATGGAGCGTGAGGGCTGCAGCCAAGGAGTAGTCCATCGCAGAGCTGGGATTCAAATAAGCAGCTGGAATTAGGCCCAGGAGCAAAACACTGACCACCCTCTCACCAGTCCAGTGGAGAGATGAAGCCTTGGAACCAGCTATAAAAAGGAGGGACCAGATTGTAAGAGTTGAAAGGGGAAAACACACATACCTCACATTCAGTATGTGCCACAAAATAACCCAGCTGACAGAATGGCAAATAGTACGCATATGAGACTTAACTGAGCAGAAAGAGAGTAAGATAAAGAAGACAAATGAGAAAGATGCTATCTCCCTTCTTTGACGCTCTTTAGCTCGAGGTGTCACAGTGCCTATTTAAATGCATTAGAAGACTGATCCAATTTGCGGACAGGCCAGAAGATGGATGAACTACCTTTGCAGAACCACCAACCTTGGGCTTTAGTGTAATGGACAGATACTTTACGAATGTAAGTTAATACCAGCAGAGGAATTCCTTTAAAACATTACTCTTTTATTTACACATTCTAATTTTTAGAATTTGAAGGTAATACTAAAAATCCTCCCCCCAAAAAAACCAAACCAGCCAATTCAAAAAGTTCTGATGTGAACTTTTACGATTATGGTCCTTCTTCTGTCCCATTACTTATAAATAGTCCAAAACAGGTATGAACGTGAACATGAAAACTTCTTTTAAATAAGTGAAAAACAAAATAGGCTTTAAACATTTCTTCGGGAGCCTCTATCTTTTTTGGTTACAGATCTCTTTGGGAATCTAATAAAAGGACAGATATTCCCCCAGAAAAATGTACATGGACACATACATTAAAAACCATGTTTAAAACTTCAAGGGCTTGCTTTCAGTCCCATGCACTTTAAATTAAAACCACCCTGCTAAATTTAACTGAACTAAACAAAGGAATGCAGAAACAAAGAATTTTCCAAGACAAAATAACTCTAAAAAGCAGAAAAACTATACCTGCCTAATTTCTCATAATTCAGATGCAACTGTACATAAGTTATTGACTTAAGAATCAAGGGGCGCCTGGGTGGCGCAGTCGGTTGAGCGTCCGACTTCAACCAGGTCACGATCTCGCGGTCCATGAGTTCGAGCCCCGCGTCGGGCTCTGGGCTGATGGCTCAGAGCCTGGAGCCTGTTTCCGATTCTGTGTCTCCCTCTCTCTCTGCCCCTCCCCCGTTCATGCTCGGTCTCTCTCTGTCCCAAAAATAAATAAACGTTGAAAAAAAAAGAATCAAGAGGAATCTTTATCTCTATAAAATACAGATCTTTCCAGACTCTAAAACTGGAAATAATAGTTAACTTACTATTCACTTACAGGTTTTCCATAATATTCACCCCAAAAATGCCATGTGATTTTAGTATCAACCTAAATAAAAATAATTCAGTTAACAGCTATAAATATGTACGACTTTTTAAATTGTCTACTATTCTAAATTACTTGTATATGTTCCTATCAGCTAAATAAGAGTGAGTATATTTTTTTTTTAATTTTTTTTTCAACGTTTATTTATTTTTTGGGGGGACAGAGAGAGACAGAGCATGAATGGGGGAGGGGCAGAGAGAGAGGGAGACACAGAATCGGAAACAGGCTCCAGGCTCTGAGCCATCAGCCCAGAGCCCGACGCGGGGCTCGAACTCCCGGACCGCTAGATCGTGACCTGGCTGAAGTCGGACGCTTAACCGACTGCGCCACCCAGGCGCCCCAAGAGTGAGTATATTTTATAGACCCTTCCTACAAAACTATTTCCTTTAAAAAAAATTGAAATTTTCATAGACTTAGACCAGAAGGGTTCTCTTTCAGTGTAAATGGCATCCTTCAACCATTGTGGCATTGTCTGCCCCAAGGTGCAGGCTAAACAGGTCTTCATCTGACAGAGTTGGACATAAGAATTCACTCCACAGATAGCAAGTCCTACCAAAGGCATGAAAATTACCCAAGACAAAGATGAAAAGAGCCCAAAAAGCAGCAGCAATGAAAGAAAAAAAAAAACATACCATGGTGGTTGGGTGACAGGTGAATGTGCTGTGTTCTACACTGTCCTGGGGTAGGTTGGTCCTGGAGAAATGCTGAGACATAAGCAGGTCTGACTACTGGAATTCGGAGAAACAGAGCTGAGGAAAGAGATATAAGGGAGGTCATAAACATTTCTCCTTTAACAGGAATAACAGACTTTCTAAATGACCATAAGCAAGCTATTTACTCCAAACAGGGGATAACAACTCATTTGTAAAATGAGGACAGTATATATTTCCCTGGATTACTATGAAGTCAGACTAAGTAGCCACTGAAAGATTGAAAAATCAATGAACCACTTATGTAAAAGGGCTTCACGCTTACCAATTTTATAAAGTAAATTATAGGGCACCTGTGTGGCTCAGTTGGTTGAGGGTCTGACTCTTGATTTTGACTCAGGTCATGATCTCACGATTCATGGGTTCAAGCCCCATATGGGGCTCTGTTCTAGCAGTGTGGAGCCTGCTTGCTCACTCTCTCTCTCTCTCTCTCCCCCCTCACCTGCTCGCATGCGCACTCTCTCTCAAAATAAACTTTAAATAAATAAATAAATAAATAGTAAATTATAGTTCCTTTCTCTTTCCATTTATTCATCTGTTCATCCACCAAACATTTACTGCAGGTAAAAGCATGCTCTTCATTGGAGCAAGAGACAAGACAGTCTTTGTCCTCAAGGAATTCAGTCTAATTTAGGAAGTACATCTATTACCATCTTCCTTTTCAAGATCCACTCAGGTACCCCTACACTTGTACTCTTGAACCTATCCCGTTCTGTCCCCTTTTTGATCCTGTCTCTTGGTTAAAAACTAGACCTAGTTCATGCAATGCCACCACTTACTAGCTGTGAGGTGATGAGCAATTAAGTTAAACAGCCTCTCTAAGTCTAAATGTCCTTATCTGTAAAATGAAAATAGTAGCACTTACTTCATAATACTCCACTGAAAATTAATATATGAAAGGTGCTTAGCATAATTCCCAGAATGTCATAATTACTCAATAAGAGGTAATTTCTCTCCTGTGTCTTTCACCTCTCCTTCCTTCCTATTGGCCATTTCCAACTATGCTTCTTTATTTTTTTTTAAATATAATTTACTGTCAAGTTAGATAATATACAGAGTATACAGCGCGCTCTTGGTTTCGAGGGTAGATTCTCATGATTCATTGCTTACATCCAACACCCAGTGCTCATCCCAACAAGTGCCCTCCTCAATGCCCATCCCACATTTTCCCCTCCCCCTCCTGCCTCCCCCATCAACCCTCCGTTTGTTCTCTGTACTGTATCTCAGTTTGTAATTATTTTTTTCCTTCCCTTCCCCCATGGTCCTCTGTTAAGTTTCTCAAGTTCCATATATGAGTGAAAACATATATGTCTTTCTCTGACTGACTGATTTCACTTAGCATAATACCCTCCAGTTCCATCCACACTGTTGCAAATGGCAAAATTTCATTCTTTTTCATTGCCAAGTAGTATTTCATTGTATATATATGCCACTGCTTCTTTATCCATTCATCAGTTGATGGACATTTGGGCTCTTCCCATAATTTGGCTCTTCCAATTATGCTTCTTTAAAGTGTTGGCTAAATCACCTCCACTTATTCACTTCCCTATCATTCTTCAACTCTGAAACTTATTGTCATCCCTACTAAAACTGCTTTAAGTTGCCAATGGTCTCCATGTGATCCCATCCAACAAACACCCTTTAGTCTCCACCCTATTGGACCTTTCCTCTCTTCTATTCTGATGAACTCTCTTCTAGTCCTCCCTTTGATTGTCTGACATCCTGTATCAAACTCCTCCTACTTTCACTCTTAACGTTTTCCCAACTTTCTATCATCTGCCCATTGCTCTCCTCATGTCGTAAGACCACCCTTGGCCGTTATGTCCACTCAGCTTATTCCACCCATAAGCTGATGACACCCAATTCTGTATCTGCAACCCTGCTATCTCTCCAGAGTTTCAGAAGTGTGAGTGCCTCCTGGGTCTCTGCCCTGAGATATCCTACATGATCCTCAAACTCACCATGCCAAAAATTACAATCATCCTTCAACTCACTTTCTCAACCAAACTCGTCTTCCATTTGCTTGTTCGCCACTTTATTTAATAACATCCCAGCCACTCTTTAACCTAAACCAAAAATCTGCAAGTCATGTAAAATTTCCCTCCCTAAATTATCAATCACCAAATGATACTGATGTATCTCCTCAACATTTCTTGAGATAATCTGCTCTTTGTTTGTACTACTTCCAACAGTGTCCTATCTCATCTCCCTGACGTGTGTCCTAGCCGGTCCCATCTCCTATGATGGCCATCTACCACAGTGTTACTCAAGCGATCGATTTAAACTGCAAAATTCTATGTCAAATCTTTCAATGGTCCCCTTCAGAGCAGGTAAATGCACACTCCTTATCAAGACAAGTTCTTCCATGATTTGATTCCAGCTCACCTTTCCAGATTCATCTCTCATTGCTCACATTCAGTTTCATGCACTAATATCTTGTTTATTTACTCTCCTACTTCACATTCCTACACCTTCATCATTACTTTAGCTCATTCCAGTAGCTCCAACTGTAATGTCCTTCGTCCTGTGGCCTTCCTTATCCTCAAGACGCAAATATAGGACACACTTCCTTCAGGAACCAAGAGAGGGTAACCTTTCCAAAACATACAGCTAAATATGTTCTTCCTCTGGACTACCATAATAATTTATGTACAGTACAACAGTTCGTGCTTTATGTTAAGTTATGCTTACGTGTGTTTTCCGTATAAAAATGAAAACCCTTCGAGAGCAGGAACTATGTTTTATTCACATCTGTATCCCAATCCTACTACAGTGTCTGGTTGAATACAAATGCCCAGTTGAATGATTATCAAGTTGATCTCCCGACCCCTATGCCAACTCCGGGTAAATGGGCAAGACCAGGCATTGGCACTTAGAGCCTAACACACTTTTCCAATGCAGGGTGGGTGCATTCTACGGACATTGTATGGGGAGAAAAAACAGAACTCTTATGAATAGCTTCAGTAGGACCGTAACTTCCAGGAGCTCTCTTTCAGATTATCCATCCCCACGTCAGCCCTGAGCAGGAGTGATAACGCGCTCGGGAGAACGTCTGGGCGCGTAGGCAACAGTGATTACCGCCATGGTTTCGACAGAAGCCAGACGGGCAAACGGAATGGAGGGATTCCCTGCTCAAGAGGCCTCGTCGCCTGGAGGCAAATCCTCACCGCACTCCCTTCCCTGGCTGGAGACTGTACTAAGAACCTCCGGCTGCCAGGACCCCTCACCTCGGCCTCCTTGCGCACCACACAGGACACCCAGCCGCCAGAGATTCGCCATCTTTCTCCCAAAGGTTCAAGGTCACCCAGCAACCCGGAAGCAGTCACTCTATTACTCCCACCCCTCGACAACGAAAGAAAACAAGAAACAGGAAAATGCCTGGTGAACCGGAAGTCGGGAGCTGGCGCGCGTCCGCCGCGCATGCGCACACACGCTCGTAAGAAGGCCGGGAGTTCCAGGTGGACAATGGCGGAGCTGGGTGAGGCGGACCAAGCGGAGTTGCAGCGCCTGGTGGCAGCCGAACAGCAGAAAGCGCAGTTCACGGCACAGGTGCGAGGACAAGGACCGCGGTGGAGAGAAAGGAGGCTGAGGCTCAGGTTGACTTTTCAGGCTCTTTACTCAGCCCGCGAAGTGACTGCCGCTAGAAAAAAACTAGCAGAGCTCTGCCACCTCGCTACGGGGAGGCTGCCCAATGCTCGTTCTTGCTGCGCCCGGTTCTTCTCGGAAAAGAAATGAGCATGGCCCTCCAGGCCCTGGTGACCAGTAGTGCTCGGGTGCCTGTTCGGCAAACCCGGCGTGGGGGAAAGAGAAAGTGTAAAGCAGAGGAGAAAGGTCGGGCGACGCCAAGGTCACCGGAAACTAGTTTGGTGGCGAGCTCTCTGGGCTTGGCATTCGGAAGGTCTGGGTTCTGATCCTGCCTCTGCCCCTTACAGGCCACGTACCTCTAGGCAAGACACCCACCCATATGGGTCCTGGTTTTGCAGTCGCCTGCTGCCTCACTGGATTGTAAAGACCATATGCGATAACGTATTTGAAAACGACAAAGTAGTAGAACATTAATGGAGAAAGGTGGACTCTGAAGTAGTCAGTGTGGACTGTAGTTTAGAACTAGTGTTTTGGAGCTCTTTCGCCACCGTTTGAAACCCGGCCTGGTCGCTTACTAGCAGCAGGACCACTCCCAGTATGGCTTATTGCTTAACCACGTCTCAGACTGAGAGGACAGTCACACTTTAGGACCGCAGACAGTATTGACTGAGTACTCAGCATCCCAAAAAGGACGCCCTCAGTAAATGGTTAAAGAACTGCTCTGTAAGGGATAGATTTGGAGTGAGATGAATGCAGTGGTTTGGGGGACATTCATTGGTACCATACCTTTCCAGCTTACACTGGAGCTAATTGGGAAGATAAAAGATACTCACCCTGCCTGAAAATTTACAATCTGATTAAGGACTTAACACAGTTGTAAAAAATAGACCGTGGCCTTCAAGGAGGTAAAAATTTGAACTGTGTTGAAGAATGGGAAAAATCTTTAGGGAGGGCATTCCAGGAATATTAAGGGTCGAGTATGCTATGCATGTACTTCATGGAAGCACAACAGGTTAGTGGTTAAATAAGGGAGTGCCCTGAGTGGCTGAGAGGAACTGATGCATTAAGCAAACACAGGGGTGACGTGATGGAAAGTAATTTTTAATCACTAAAGAGAAAAACAGTAATGGAGAGAATAAAGGATTATTGCAACGTAAGGACAAGGATCTGGGCCATACTGGTGACAAGTTATGAAGTGAGGAAAGAGGGGAGCCCATGGTTTGTTGATTGAATGATTCCATCAGGTGATAGAAAATGAGAAGAATGGGAAGGAAATAAAGTTGGCAGAGTTAGACCTATATGCAGACATCAGTGGTTATTTTCTTTCTTCTTAGGTGCATCACTTCATGGAGCTATGCTGGGATAAATGTGTGGAGAAGCCAGGGAATCGCCTAGACTCTCGCACTGAAAACTGCCTCTCTAGCTGTGTGGACCGCTTCATTGACACTACTCTTGCTATCACCAGTCGCTTTGCCCAGATTGTACAGAAAGGAGGGCAATAGGCCATCCCTTGGGAGAATGACAGAAGAAACAAAGGACTTGTTAGAGCAGATTGATGGGCCACTGGGGGAAGGTCGGCAGCCCATTGTCAGGTGAACTTGAGGCTGTTACCAAGCCTGTTGGTGCTAAAAAGTCACAGATCAAATGTTCAAAAAGTGAAATTTATTTATTTGGAATTCAGAAATTCCATGTTGTATCACAACAGTTGCTCAATAAATGTGAATTCTCCAACTCTTTTTTTTTTAACCCCATTTTAGGATTTAATATAGAGATCTCTGATGGGCAGGAACACTAGAAACAAGTGTGTTCCAAGACCAGTAGTGCAAATGAGATCTTGGGTTTTGAAGGGCCATCCTAAACCACTAATTAAGGGGGCTAGAAGAACCATCAAAACCTTAGCCTAAGGTATAGAAGAGAAATTGGGGTTGAGAAGGGTGAAGAACAGAAAACAGCTTTATTGCTTATACATGACCAAGAAAAGGTAAACATGGCAAAAAAAAAAAAAAAAAACACCAAAAAAACCAAAACAGGCAAGATGTGTATTCTTGGGATAGAAATAGGCCTGCTAGTATGGGAGAAAGGGAAGGTCAAGCCCAAAACAGAACCATCTTCCTGGAGATGCCTTGTTCCACTGGCCCATCTTCCTGAGTCTGTGCTAAAATCAATACTTTTACAGCACAGAAACAATGCTTCAAAAAAATACATGAAGACTCCTTCCAACAAAGATTTCACTTACTTCAAGAACAAAACAATTGCTTTAGGTTAAGAGGTAGTAATTACAGACGTCCTGCCCTCCCACCTGTGGGCCCCCACTAATCCCAAAGTAAAAATATACGCCATGGAACAATGACAGTTGAGTACCAAAGTATTAATATTTCAAGTAAATATCCTCAAAGGTAGCACCTGCTTATAATCAAGGGATGAGAACCTCTAGCCAACCATGTATTTTGTGACTAAGCACTTTATTAGAAATCTGTTCTGGAAAGAACAAATTTAGTAGTTAGAACCACAAAGTATTACCACCTCATGGAATGTTGTTATAGTTCTATTCTATTGCTGGTGTCTTAACACTGTCATGCTACCATGAAGTATTTCTGTATTCTACATGGGGAAGGTAAGGCCAGGAAGGTTAACTTACCTGTTCAGACCTCATAACTAGTTAGTGGCAGAACCAAGACCAAAAGTCTGGGTTTTCAAGTTTTCTACTCAGCCGATGAAGTGACAACCAGGAAAAACAATGTCACTTGACATTCCGTGATAATGAAAAAACTCACCTGTGTTCTACCAGCTTTTTTTCAGTGATATTTTGTTTTTTTTAAGAATTAACAGTAGGGATCACAGTATAGAGCAAAGGGAAATAATACGGTCTCTGCTTGGTGCTTTAATCAGAAGGCTGACTGGGAAGAAGTGGGTGCATCCCTGAGAAGCCTGTTTCATTTTGGAACTGATTCAACATAACTTCAGGGAAAATCTAAAGTTCATTAATAGATTTAGAAATGAACAAGGAAGATAACATTTAAATGGCAGTTGCAACCCTGAATCCTGTTCAGAGCACCATTAAACAGCATGACCAATTCCTAACTTTATCCCATTTGGTTGAGGATTAAGACAACCGAAGAAAGAATTTTGAACACAAGGCCATTTAGGCAATCGACAACAAAGGAAGTAGAAAACCATTTACTATCCAATTACCATGTTTAGGGGTATACTGAGTGTAGCCACAGACCCTGTCCAGCAGAGAAATTTGACCAAAAAACCCTAGTCTCATAACAGCGGTCTATGGATGTTAGGAAGGAAAAATATCTTGTTCTTATACATTTTTTCTCATTAAATAAACTGGACCATATCAAAGGGGCCAAATACAGAAAGATCAAAGCACCAAGGCTGAAGACACAAAAAGTTAAGTCCTGGCACCTGCTATATAAAGATAGCAACACGATGTTCCCTTACAGCATTCTACACAGCACCGGTTCCAATCCACCTCTCGATCCCAACCCTTGCCCTTCCCCAGATTCAACATTCCAATTGGTGTACCCAGGTCATTACTGGGTTCAGCTTTCTGGGTCCTTTAATTTGCTGTATATGCACTCTACCCTAAATGTGATTAATTGCAAAAAATAATCTCTTCGAGAAAACTTCATAACAAAATACCAGATTCCCTATTAACAGTAAGAGGATCAAGTTTAACAGGCCAAAACAAGACAAGTCTGGCAGAACATATATAGATGGCACAGGACAGCTCTGACCTCAGGGCCCCTGTGCTGGGCAATAGAGTCACTGGCAAAACCCCAAGGTGACAGAGCTGCAAGTAACCAGTCAGATGGGCAAATGAAGAATGTTTCTTTCTCATTTAGTCATCCTCGGAACTCTCTGCAGACCTTTCATCTGTAGCCACTTTCCAATTTGTGCGTTTGTTTGTCCTCTCCTGTATTTCATTGTTAACTACAGGGATGTGGACTTTTTTCTCTCTCTTTTTCCTTTTGGTTTTCTTAGTGTCTCTTTCCTCGCCTTCCTCAGAACTGCTGGATGCGGAATCATCGGACTGGGAAGTATCACTTTCTGCATCCAAGAATAAAGCAGGTTTCTTGAGCGACTTTTTCCTGGATTTTTTCTTGCGCTTATGTGGCTGTTTCCTTTTCCCGGTACTAGAAGCCCCCATTTCTTCTGAAAACTCACTTGAGGAATCTGCTGTTACATCTGTGGCTTCCTTTTTGCTTTTCTTCTGTTTTTTGTGTGACTTTTTTTTCTGCTTTTTTTTGTGGGATTTCTTTGACTTCTTGTGTTTGTGAGACTCGTGGGTAGATGATTTTACTTGGGGAGATGTTTTTTTTCCATTGGTAATATCTTGCTGGTCACTACTAATAAAAAAGAGAAACTGCTTTACTATAGGAAATAAAAAGTCTATTAATATTTTAGTATTCTACACTCTAGATAGAAAGTTGGGGTTAACATCTGAATTTTAAATAAGAGCTTTGACATAGGGTTACTATGAGACTATCACTCTTTTTGTTTTCTCATTTTGTTTTCTTAAAGATAAATTCTCATCTGTCACCTTGAGTTACTGTATGGAATACTATGTAGAAGAACCTAAATGCTATGTATATGCAGAACATCAATCAGGAAACGGCAAAATACCAAGTATCTCCAAACTAAATTGCCTATTATTTTCTGGTTACATTTCTAATGGCAAATGTTATCTCCTTTATAAAATTAGGAACCCACGGCACCTGGGTGGCTCAGTTGGTTAAGTATCCGACTTGGTTCAGGTCATGATCTCACGGTCCGTGAGTTCAAGCCCCGAGTCGGGCTCTGTGCGGACAGCTCAGAGCCTGGAGCCTGCTTCAGATTCTGTGTCTCTCTCTCTCTCTCTACCCTTCCCCTGCTAATGCTCTGTCTCTCTGTCTCAAAAATAAATAAAAAACATTTTTAAAATAAATAAATAAAATTAGGAACCCAATTTATAGTTCAGATTTGGAATAGTATTACTTGGTATTGGTTCACTTGGTTTCTAACTTTTTTTTCAGTAAGCCTATTTGCCTTACCTGTCTGTTTCAAATTCTTCAGGGTATAACTCTTTGTAACCGCTGTGACCCCATCTGTAAGATGACACAGATATTATATGTATTGTTAAGGCAATACATACATTTCTTTAAGTTAAAAAAAAATTAGACAGACTTACGAGTGCACGCATAGACAGGCATACAGAACAAAGAAAACACCATAGAGCCAACCCCATCTTCAAGCTCAGTAACTTAACTGGCTACATTTTCTGTACTGCACACTATCATTTTAGACACAAAGGATTCTTTTGTCCATTTGTAAGAGAACTTGCCATTCTCAAGAACTCTTTTACTCTCCTCTTTAGCTGTGAAATACTTCTCCAAAAACAACTCTTAACATAATGCGGTCTATATTGGGACAATTGTTTTTTACAGAGCAATTTTACTAAGATGCAATTCCTATACAATAAAATTCACTCTTCTGAAGTGTACAATTCAGTGGCTTTTAGTATATTCAGAGTTGTGCAACCGTCACCACTATCTAATTTCAGAACACTCTCATCACCCAAAAAGGAACTCCATCCTCTAGCACTAACTCTCCATTCCTCCCTCTCCTGTAGCCCATGGCAACCACGAATCTACTTTCTGTCTCTATGGATTTGCTGATTCTGGACATACCATATAAATAGAATCATGTAATAAGTGGCCTTTTGTGTCTGGTTTTTTCCACCTGTTTCCAAGCTTCATCCATGTTACAGTATATCAGTACTTTATTCCTTTCACCGTCAAAGAACATCACATTAGTCCCCCCTTATCTACAGTTTTGCTTTCTGGAAGCAGATCGCCCTCCTTCTGTCATATTGTCAGAGGTCAGCAGCAGCCTAACGCTACATCAAAATGCCTACATCATTCCCCTCACTTCATCTCATCACATAGGCATTTTATCATCTCACATCATCACAAGAAGAATGATGAATACAGTATTAATGAAATATTTGACAGACCACATTCACATAAATTTTGTTACAGTATATTGTTACAATTGTTCTATTTTTAGTTATTGTAAAGCTCTTACTGTCTCCAATTTAGAAATTAAACTTCATCAGGGGCACCTAGGTGGCTCAGTCGGTTAAGCATCCGACTTCAGCTCAGGTCATGATCTCATGGTGTGTGAGTTTGAGCCTGGGGTCGGGCTCTCTGCTGTCAGCACAGAGCCCATTTCAGATCCTCTGCCCTGCCTCTCTGCCCCTCCCCTGCTCGTGCTCACTCTCTCTCTCAAAAATAAATATTTAAAAGCTAGAAAAAGAAATTAACTTTATCATAAGTATGTATGTATAGGAAAAAACATAGTATATATAGGGTTCAGTACTACTGACGGTTTTAGGCAACCACTGGGGATCTCAGAACATATCCTCATGGATAAGGGTGGGGACTACTGTACCACATTTTGTTTATCCCTTCATCAGTTGACAGACATTTGGGTTTCCACTTTGGGGCCATTATGATAATTATGCTATGAACATTTGTGTGCAAGTTTTTGTAGGGATAATTAATTTTTAAAAGTATATACTCTCAAGTCAGATATCATTAATGGTCACAAGAATTTAGTTACAAACCTGTCTGGCATATTAGCTTCATAATCATATAACTTCTTATTCCAGGATTTAGCCTTAAGAAAGTCATCTTCCAGTGCCCCAGAAATTTCAGTCTTTGGCCTCCAATAGTCTCTTTGACTTTCTTCATCAAAACCATCACTACGCATCCGGCTATAAGGAAAAACAGAAGAACTTTTATATTTGGAAGCAATCTGCAAGGTTCCTTTATGGAATGTCATACACAAAACCCACTGAACAAGCTAAGGGGAAAACAACCACCTGATAATTAGTATTAAAAAAAAAAATGTAAAAAGTCATGATCTGTTCTACTGTCTAAGTCTGTACACTTATCCAGGGAAAATCTGACCATTACTACCCATCCTATTGCAGAATACAGACAAAAATGACTTATGGACTATGGCACGCTGTAGCTCGCTCACTGATTCTCAAGTAGGAGGGCATGCAAAGAAGGAGGCTGAGAATAATCACAGCTGGTGACAATTTCCAACTACTCTGGAGATTTCAGAATCTCCAGGGAAGGTTTTCCCTTCCTCGAAAACCAGCAACCTTCTGCACTGAGGTCGTAGTAACAGTAGGAACAAGGCCTAACCCATGAGGATGCTGGGGTAGAAAACCAGTTGAGAACCATTGACAGAGCCTGTGCTTACAAGGTCCACTAACAAGTCACTCCGCAAGCTAACTAATTATCAAAAATGTTTAAGGGCCGCCTATATGCTAGGCACAGTTCTAGCTGCTAGGAATGTAATAGCAAATGAGACAATCAGAATCCTGCCCCTAAAGAGATTATGATTTAAAGATTTATTAGACCAGGACAGGTATTAATAATTCACTCTAAAAATAGTATTTTGTTCCTGGAAATGCCTCTTGGAATTGAAGAAGCAATACAAGACAAACCATCATCTGCACTAACTTCTAAACTCTCAAAGGACCATCTTTAGAAAGGAAACATTTTATCTGCAAATATCTGCAAAGATATTTATTTTTATATTGAGACCATGCCTTCTTTACCTTGGAGACCCCAAATACTTTCTTGTTCAAAGTCCTTCACATACAGCCAATCCTGAGTTGTACGTACTCCAAAGCCTGAGTACTCCGCAGGCACACTCACTCTCCTTAAATATCTCATATATTGTTTCCCTGGGTGGCTTTAGAAATTAGCATTATTAGTATAGTCATTTTTCATATACACAGCTCTACACTAACAGGCATATGAAGCCCAAGAGATGTTCCCAATACTCAGACATTCCTATACCTCCATAGATAAGACAACTAAGCCTGTATTATCCTTTATACTCAACACTGAAACTATTTAGAAGGTAATGTGAAAGGCTGTGTGACTTGGTGAACACAACAAGGAGATGGGGTAAAGAAAAGGCTCACAGAGCATCTAAGACTAACAGAGGAAAGGAGTGAATGATAGCTTAAGTGACTGTAAGTTACCAACAGTAAATCTTAAAAGCCACCAAGCAAGGTCAGAATACACAAAATCCTTAACTTTTAAAGTTGTTCAAGGTAGAATTTTGGAATTCAGTACCAAGAATTAAGCCATATGTATCATAGCCACTATCTTTATGCGTGGGTCTAGATTTATGAAAGAAGGAAGGCTTAAAGATTCACAGAACTGAACTCATCTATCTTTAGCGAACTAAAATGCTTTTAAGTGAAAGTTAATGGTTCTAAAGAAGATCAGAATTATTTTGGTTCTGAGAGCTGCAATTTCACCTTGAACTACTGGGTAACATTTTCCTTTTGGTTCCCCGGTAGGCATCTTCCATCTGTTTCTCCAGTTCTCTTATTTTCCACATATCTGACTCCTCCTGAATCTACATTTTTTTTAAAGAAAAGAAATACAAATAAATGACTAAAAATAACATTTTACATCAAAGAAAAGTAACTGACAAACACTCTGCACTAATTATTGCATTACAGGTTGGGTTATAACCAGGAACCTGGGAAACAAATTCAGGATTTCTAGAGTGGTTAAATAACCCGACCCAGTGAATCTCAAATGTTCTGCAGCCACACAAGAACTTTTTAACCCCGCACAGACACACCTATCACCTTACTAATTTTGCAATTATGCCGCAATTATCAAATGATAATCCTTTCTGTTTCAATTAGTCACCAAGTTCTTGGGATTCTATCTCCTAAATTCCTCTTCATCCCTACAGTCACTGTTTTCATGCGAACGGCTCATCATCTCTCACCTGTAGCACTGCAATTGCCTAACTGGTGTCTCTATTATTTCACTCCATCTGATCTATCCCCTACCCAGCTAACTAATCATCTAAGATACAAATACAAATTAAAGACTTTGATGGTTTCATTATAATTTAGAGGAAAAAGCGTCACAAGCCAACTCTAACTTACCACTCAAGCTTTATCTTCCATCACTACCCCATGGCCCCGCCCCCCCCCCCCCCACATTTTGAAAGCACAGTTTATTGCCAAGCCCCAAGTGCTTCATGCTCCTTTTTGTTGCCATGTGAGTACATGATGTTCCTTCTGTCTGGAATGATCTTTTACACATGGTAAAGTTTAACCTGTTAAACGAGAACTAATTCAAATATCATCAGCAGCTCAAATGCCACCCATTCTATGAAGCCTTTCCTAATTTCCCAAGGCAGATTTCATTATTCATTCCTCAGTGCACTGAAGCACTTTGTGTATGTCTCTATTACAGTACTTATCAAATTGATTATAATTACCGATTTTATTCACCTTTGTATCTCCAAACTGCCAAAATAATGCTTGGCACACTGTATGCCTTCAATAAATGTTGAGTAATAACCAGATTGTACCTCTTACCTTATTGTGAGCATCTGTATGCCGGATGACATTCCTCAGGAGGACTTTCCCCAGTGGAACCCGGGACATTCTTCAATCTGAAATTAATCAAGACATAACACTTAATAAAAATAATTCCCTTTATTACCTTCTCTTTTATTACAATATTATAAGGAAGCACGAGGTAAAGAAAAGATCACTGAACAAGAAGTCAGAAGTCCTAAGGGGTAGTTTTCCCTTTACCATTAAAAGAAGAAAAATGTCTGACCACACTAATATGAAGATGAATGTAACTGAGATAAATGTACGTCGAAGTTCTTTTAAACTGCACAAAGTTATGTGCTTTCAAGAGCACCATTTTATTTAATCTTCAACACAATCCCATGTTTTATATGAGGCAAGCATCTTCATTCTTATTTTGTAGGTGAAATTCCCTTAAGCCATAACTTGCCCCAGGCCAGATTGCCCAAGGCAAACCAGGTGCAGATTAGAAATCAACTGTGGAATCCCCAAATCAGTTCGTCATGAAGCAAATATCTAGATTTGAGACTATCAGGGACCAGCAAATGTCAACATTTGACATCAAATGCAGAGAGGCCCTAAATTTCTCCACTCAGGAGAATTTTACTTTCTAATTTGTACAGAAGCCTCCAAAATACAGATGACAAGGGTATCCAGTGTGTAGCTAGCAGCGGTTTTGTGCAACCACCCCACCGCTCACTCACCCCTCGATCCTGAGGAAATCAGGCATCTTGCTAGTGTGAGACGAAGAACCACTCCATTACAAGATCTCCTCCGACCCAGGAAGCCAAGGAGTCAGGGCTCAAAGGCAGCTCTGCAGCTTCACCCGAGTCCTTCGTGAAAACGCAGCCTTCCCACCGGTTATTCTGCCCTCACCCGCGGCCCAGGCCACCGCTGCCTTGCCCCCAGCCCAGACCGACAGGAAGATCTCTTTCCGGACTGAGGCCGGAGTCTGCGCCGGCGCGGAATCCGGAGGGCCGGGTTGACGGGGCATTCCCCGCTCACGCTCCTCTGGGACGGACCCGGGGGTTGGGCTTCGCTCTCCCGAAAGGATGGGGAGGCTCTGGACGGGTACAATCCTCGACTGGGCCCCAAGAAATACCTAGAGTGCCCGAAGGGGGGGTTGAAGCTTCCAAGGGGAAGTCAGAGAAAATACCCCCATCTCTGTCACCGGGATCCCTGCCCCCCAGCGGCCACGGAGCTCCCGGTAACCTTCCCTCCAAACGCCCTCCCCATACAGACACACACAAACACACCCATACCGTGCGCCGCAGCCTCGCGTGGCGGGGATTGGGGAGGGGGGAGGGGGAGGCCTGGGAGACAAGGGAGCGGACTTCCGTTCCAGGCCGGAAGTCGTGCTCCTGAGAAACTCTTCCCACCAACAGGAGACGCGGAGACTCCCACAAGGAGAGTTTCCAGGATCCTCTAGAGATCGAAAGGTGCGGAAGGGAGGCGGGCGCCTTCCTGGAAAAGAAGTGGGTCGGGCTCAACTGAAAAGCAAGAAGGAGGAGATTCCGGAACTAGATGTAAAAGTCCTTTCTGCCTGGAGCTTTCCGGACCCAATTAGATGTTGGACCCGGTCTGGTTACCCTGGTAACAGGTGTCGCTGTTTGTCAAGGAACCGAGAGAGGAGGTGGGTTCGCCGACCTCTGGAGTGATTGTCCTTTAGTTAAGCTTCCCATTTAGTATAACCCTACTAAAAAAAAAAAAAAAAAAAAAGAGTTTAACCCTACTATAGTATTCGGAGAACCCAAACCTCCTCTTTGCCTCCTTCTGTGGCTGCTGTGGGACGCCTCTCCAGTGGGGGAGGAGGGCAAGGGAGGTGATCTCTAGACACAGATGGTGTATTATTACTCTCATACAGTGTTAACGAAGTGTCCCAGTTTCTCCATATTAATTAATTCTCACAATAACCTATGACATAGGTATTACCGTCATTTTGAGGAGAGTTAACTGATGTATATAACCTAATTGCTCAGGGTCACACACCTAAGTTAAGTGATAAAGCTAAAATGGGATCTAGGCATTCCGGCTCCAGCTTTGCCTAAGCTGGAGGAAGCTATGAGGATGTCTCCTGTGGCCCTCACCCCACACACACCTCTGGCAGTTTCAGGACTGGATAGGCACCGGTCAGCCAAAACCCAGGTATTGGAACAAGAAAATCACCCGTAATCCAGACTTTCAGTGACTACCCTCAGCACTTGAGAGGGTCTAGGCAGAGGTAAGGACTTGATATCTGAGACGACAACCTGAGAACTTTAAGAAGGGGTGCTAGATAATTAGAGAATAAGGAAAAGAAAAGTGGTGCTGATCCACAATTTGTTAGACACAGGTGCTGACTTCACCCAAACAAGACCTGTTCTTCCTTCTCCAAAAGAAGAATCACTACACAGACCTTTTTCCCCTTAAGTCATATCTTTCCACAGACTTAAGAGGCCTATTCACCTCAATCATGGAGTCTTCCTCAAAGGGTCTGCTCACCCAAGTTACTCAGTTCTGGAACCTCCTAGACGATCTGGCTGAAAGCAACCCTGAGGGCTACGAGAAGTTTATTCAACAGCAGCTGAAAGAAGGGGAACAGCTCTGTGCCGCCCCAGAACCATGGCTCTGTCTACAAACCAGGATCCTGGTACGTAGAGTTGGTTCCCAGGGATGGGAGGTCTTGACTGAAATAATCCTGGAATAATCAGACAATAACTTACCTTTAGCTATTGCGACTTTAAGAAAACTCGAGGGAAACTACCACTCTAAATGGAGAGTGAAACAGTGTGGAGGATCATGCTGAAGGAGTAAGAATGGGAGGTTCCCACTGGATACATTTTGGAGATCTCACAATAAGCCATTTTCTACTAGAATAAAAAAAAGTAAAATGATTTAACAGAGAATCATAGAGTTGGAGGTTTTTCACCTAAAAAGAACTTAGTTGGCTGAGAGGTAAGGAAGTGGTGAAATAACGTCAAATTCACCTGGAATAGCTGCTTGGATCAGTGCCCCCTCCTTCCTCCCAGTTCCTCTGGCAGTGGCAGCTGTATATGGAAGGAAAGTCGGTAGCTTGGAGGAAATCAGGTAACAGTACAGTTTCTCAGACACAGTTTTATTTTTTTTATGGTGAAAAATTTAGATTTAGCTAGCTGGACTCAGTTTAGATGATCCCAATTTTGTTGGCAGCATCCAAAGCATCATAGTCAGGAGCCAGTCGAACATACGCTTTCTTTTCCCCATCGGGCCTGATCAGGGTGTTGACCTTGGCCACGTCAGTGTCATAGAGCTTCTTCACAGCCTGTTTGATCTGGTGCTTATTGGCCTTGACATCCCCAACGAACACAAGTGTGTTGTTTTCTGTTTTCTTCATGGCTGGCTCAGTAGTCACGGGGAAAGACTGGTCAAGCTTGTTTCTCCTGGGGGCTCTGTTAACGAGGATATTCGGGTTGCCTTTGGAGACGCGGTGTCTTGAGCCATTGGAATGTAGGTGATGTGCGGATCTCCTTTGTTTTAATGCCCCTGGATGCCTTTCCCTACTGCTTTCTTGGCCTTCAAAGCCTTTACTTTGGCCTCGGCATTGGGAGGGGCAGGGGCTTCCTTCTTCGCCTTAGGTGCCATCTTCGTGAAAGGGCTCAAACACAGTTTTAATACACAGAATGGCTATTTTGGAGCATAAAATTATCTGAGTTACCTTTAGGCTATGATTAAAAAAAACAACTAGGTTTTGAGATGTGAAAAATTATTTGCTTTTTAGAAACCAAAGGAAAAAATACTTTTCATCAACCTGTGTCAGTGGAAAAGGATCCCAGCTCCGCAGTCAAACACTCATCCAGTACCTCTAAGTATTGGCAGACCAGAAGATAGGTCTGAGACATCAGGTACATAGAATTATGGGAGATTAAGCATATTTTAAAAACTTTATTGGGAATAAGCATGTACCAGATTTTACTTGGTAAAAGGCAATATAAGTAAAATATTTTATTTGGTTGTAATGTAGTTAATAACTAATAAGCACTTTTATTTATATAAATGTGGTTCAATTTTTCTAATAATAATCCATATAAAATGCCCAGAAATGCCCTAATGGAGAATTTGTGTATATAGCAACTGTGTGATTACATCTGAAAAATACAGGAGTACTTTATACTTTGTAGTTTTATCAGGATTATGGCTTAATAAATTAACTGACAGTACCATTAGTGAAATGAGTAGTCTTCATTTCACACCCTCTGAATTACACACACAGATGTTTATACAGTCATCGATGTGGCCTACAATCCTGATGTTCTCCAGGCAGCAGAAAAGGACCAAGTGAAAAAAGATCAATTAATACAGATGGCCATGAAATGCATTGAGGAAAAACTCCAATTCACTCTCTCACACTCTTACAGCATTACTAACTTTAGAATAAAAGGAAGCATTCAAAGGATGGAACAAAATCTGTTGAGAATGCAAACTGACCCCACAGATTTAAGAGAGAAAATGAAAAAGGGTAAGTTAAGAAATGTAAGTGGAAAATTTAACTGATTTAAAATTGTTTTTGCATCCTGTGTACATTTTGCAAACTAGAAATCTTGATTTTAAAAGAGAAACTTAAGATAGAAAAATAGAAAGATTGGGCATTAGAAATATTAGCATGTCCTTAAAGATTTTTCAGTACTGCAAACTTTTAAATTTTTTTTTTCAACGTTTATTTATTTTTGGGACAGAGAGAGACAGAGCATGAACAGGGGAGGGGCAGAGAGAGAGGGAGACACAGAATCGGAAACAGGCTCCAGGCTCCGAGCCATCAGCCCAGAGCCCGACGCGGGGCTCGAACTCACGGACCGCGAGATCGTGACCTGGCTGAAGTCGGACGCTTAACCGACTGCGCCACCCAGGCGCCCCTACTGCAAACTTTTTAACTAAGTTCTTTGGTTTAAGATTCCCAAACTAATTTAGCTTCAGCTTTATCTGTCATTTTGGCTAACACCACACACACTAAAGCTCATAGTATTTTATGTTGTTGATTAATTGTTTTTAATTTCATCTCCCCCCCCCCACCTTTTATTTTCCTGAAGAACTAACCCTTGAACAGATAAGTAGTACTGTGAGCAACCCAGACGACTTCCAACTTTTATTGCCAAAAGATGAAGTTTCAAGCAAAACAAGGTGTCTGATAGAGGAGATTTCCAGTACAGAGAGCCAGGTAGAGATGAAGGAACCAGCCTATGAATTAAAAATTGTGGCTGATCAGAATGAGAAACCTCTGAAAATTGAAATAAAAGTTGAATTACCTGGTATTAATTCCGCATCTCTCTGTGACCTTAGTGTTTCTGAGGTAAGTCGAGTAGGTAATACTATAAATTTGTGTCAGTCAACATTTACTATAATACACTCTAGTAACAAACTGCACAATCTCAGTGGTTTACAGCAGTTTACTCAGCTTACATGTCACCTAGGCCTCTGCTCCAGGGTCTTGCACATTTCAAGATACAGGTGAAGGGGTAGGTCCCATCTGAGACATGCCATTCTCATGGAAGAGGGAAATACAAACGGGTAACTCATGCAATGGCTCCTAAAACTTTCTCTCAGACATAGAATATATCACTTTTACTCCACATTCTGTTGGCCAAACTCAGGTCACAAGGCCAAATCCTACATCAATAGGGCTAGTAAGAATATTCTCACAGGAATTCAAATGGCAAGGATGTATAATCCTCTAACAAGAGAAATAATTGGTTGAAAATAAAACTTAGTCCTATTTCTCAGTCCTGACGTTGTAGAATTCCTGGGCTCTGTATATTCTCTTTTAATCCTACTTACAAACTGGGAAATTCTTTTCTCAGCTCATCTCTTTTTGTAGTAGCTTATTAAATGTAGCCAGTAAGACTAATGCATGCTACCAACATTCTATTTTCACACTTCTTTACCTAAAGACACAAACCAGGTACACGTTACTTGTCTTTCAAATTATTGTGATAGTTTTACTAAGGCCTTTATCATCACTGTTAAAACCTGGATCACCGTTTTTCCTATCGCTGATAAATTTTCCTTGCTGTTTCCTGGTCAGTCACAAAGTCAATGCCACATAATCTGGGGACAGCAACAGCTGTTTTATGGCACCATAGCAGTGAACTTTTGATGTATTGAGGAGCAATAACAAATAATCCCAAAACCTCAGGGAGCTACAACAGCAACTTTACAGTTTATTGCCAAGTCACATGGCAGTAAATGGGATCCTCATTTTATGAGAAAGGTATGAATAACTGGGAAAAATCCCCAGTAACACATATTTTAACCAAGAAATCCTTTCTATTTTCATCTTTGTTATTCTTAGGATGACTTATTGATTGAGGTCCCTGAGAAGTACAGATTATATCTGAATCTTCCAGAATCTGTGGATACTGAAATGACTACAGCAAAATTTATCAAAGAGAAAGCTACATTAATCATCATAATGCCACTGGTATAAGTCAAGAACATCATCTCCTTTTGGGTTTTCAGTGCTACAGGCATGTGAAGGATAGGACCTTCATTATGGGTGAAGAGGTAGTGGTTTATCTTCAATACTGGTTTCATGTTTCCTAAGAGTTCTTTTGGATGAAATGAGATTTTCTCATCATGTTTATACTTTTTTTTAACTCCCCTCACACTTGGCTAGAAGCAGAAACTATTAAAACAGTATTGCTATACTTGTTTTGAAGCTATTTCTAATGGTCTTAAAAGTAACAAACTTGTCATTTAGGAAAATCCTGTTTCCAAGTAAATTGTGAGAATTCCTGGTTTACTGGTTGAAATTCTGGTCTACTTGTTTTTCTGGTCTCTCTAGTAAATGTTTGCATCAGGAAGAAATCCCAGACTATGTAAATTTTTTACTACCAAGAACTGAAGCAGTTCCTCCAGCTATAAAGATACAGGGCCAATGTAAAAATATGCAAACCTATGCTTCTGTGAACCTCTGTACTTCTATAAAATAGCCCTGATGGTAGGAGTGCAAGCTACTCAGACCTTTTAACATCAAAAGGACCTGTCTTGGATACAGTGTTGCAGTAACAGCAGCTGGGTGTTACTGCACCTAAGACGCAAAATAATCTAACCTTAAGAAAAAGGAGCTGGGGCGCCTGGGTGGCGCAGTCGGTTAAGCGTCCGACTTCAGCCAGGTCACGATCTCGCGGTCCGTGAGTTCGAGCCCCGCGTCGGGCTCTGGGCTGATGGCTCAGAGCCTGGAGCCTGTTTCTGATTCTGTGTCTCCCTCTCTCTCTGCCCCTCGCCCGTTCATGCTTTCTCTCTGTCCCAAAAATAAATAAACGTTGGAAAATAAATAAATAAATAAATAAATAAATAAATAAATAGAAAAAGGAGCTGACTTTGGGACATGTGCCTTTCTCCTAAGAAGATAATTTTAAGCGGCACCTAGGTGGCTCAGCCGGTTAAGCATCCGACTGGATTTCGGCTCAGGTCATGATCTCACAGTTCAGGAGATCTGCACTGATAATGCAGAGCCTGTCTGGGATTCTCTTTCTCCCTCTCTCTGCCCCTTTGTCCCCAAATAAACATAAAAAATGATTTTAAGACAGAAGTGATGTGTTTCTCAACTTCCACGCATCTAAGTTGTCATATGGTTGTTCAACACAAAGATACTAACTTTCCAATTTATAGCCCAACAATGTTCACATCAAACTTTAAACATCCTTGATCATCTTGTATAAATACATCTTCCTTGTAAGTTTCTAGTTCAACATAAGGTCTTTAAAGTCCTGGTTAATTTTAAAGCTTTTTATTTATTTATTTTTAAGTATTTTTCTTAGTAATCTCTACACCCAACGTGGGGCTTGAACTCACAAGAACAAGAGTCACATGCTCTTCTGACTGAACCAGCCAGGCGCCTCTAAAGCTTTTTAACTTTACACACTAATAAAGTGTCAGGGCACTTGGGTGGCTCAGTAGGTTAAGTGTCCACCTCTTGGTTTTGGCTCAGTTCATAAGCTCAGTTTGTGTGTTCAAGCCCCATATGGGGCTCTGTGCTGACAGTGCAGAGACTGCTTGGAAGTCTCTCTCTGTCCCCTCTGTTTCTGCCCCTCCCCTGCTAGCTCTCAAAAATAAATTTAATAATAAAAACACGAATATAGTATATGTAATATAAACAGTTGATACCGTGATATTTAAAAACAAATATAATTCTCCTAAACCTGGTTGGATTTGAATTCTCCCAGCAATAGGATAATTTACTGTCTGAAAATTTTCTAGAGCTGTATAATATGATGTCCTAAAGTTAACACACCTAGTATATTTCCATCCTTCAAAAAAAGTTGGAATGCTTCCCACCTTACCTTTCCATATCATCTCTCCGGCTGGTTAACTTTTTTTTCAGACCAGGCCTGGGGTTCCTGTAACTTCACTCACAAACCTCAGGATCGGTGTCAACTATCTAACAGGGCCAGACTATGCTTTCACCTTGCTATGTGCTGCACCCCACCACAAGGTGCTTTAGAACTCCTTGAGCTTGAAGTGTTAGATTATATTCTGCTAAACTCAGTCCTTTATTTTACCAATACTGTATGCTTAAAATGCGTTACTATTAAGAGTGTACACATACATAGCTATCCCTGGCCTTAATCATTTAATGTGAAAAATAATTACCAACAGATCAAAAATTACACAAGATGCATTGAAAACATATAGTTTAATTTTTAAATAATTTCAACCAAAACTCTTAACTTTTTTTCTTTCAATTCTGGTAAGAGAAATAGACTGAGTCCAGATATAGGTTATAGCTCAGATTAATTTTTAACTCAGTAATTCTTATGAGAAGACAACCTTTTATTTTTCTTTCAAGGGAACAATAGAGCCATAAGCATTTGCCAAGAATGAATTATCTTTGAAGTTTCATGTATTTGAACCAGATGTGCCTCATACTGATGGTCCCTTGTGATAAACTTGTTCCTTCTGCATAATCTTCAATTCAAGCTAACATTACTAATTACTGAAAAATCAGATTAATGAATTGTTTTCATAATAATACAGCAAGGGAAATATTTCTGGAATATATGCAGTGTTACTTGTGCACCATGTAACAAAGAACATTTAGAAATAAATTCAACACCAAAAGACCTAAATTTCGGGGATTGTTCCACATATACACAAGAAAACACTGATCAGATTGATTTTAAATTATCATAAACAATTCTAAATATTTATTAAAACACATCAATTCAATAGAAAGTCTGGAATTGTGATAATGTTCCCAGTTCATTTTTATTATCCTGAATATCACCTCCTACTCTTCCCCCCCACAAGAAGAAAGGCAAATCATAACAAAATGGAAAAAAAAGGGGTGCCTGGGTGGCGCAGTCGGTTAAGCATCCGACTTCAGCCAGGTCACGATCTCGCGGTCCGCGAGTTCGAGCCCCGCGTCAGGCTCTGGGCTGATGGCTCAGAGCCTGGAGCCTGTTTCCGATTCTGTGTCTCCCTCTCTCTCTGCCCCTCCCCCGTTCATGCTCTGTCTCTCTCTGTCCCAAAAATAAATAAACGTTGAAAAAATGGAAAAAAAAAATGTTTAGGCTGATCGGGTAGCAAGCAACCTAAACAATTTTTTTTTTCTCTCCAATAGGATTTTAGGACTTTCATATTGTACATGAGACAACACTGGGTGGAAAAACACAGAACACTTTTTTTTGTACACACTGAACATTTCTTACTTTATCCAAGTAGAAGTGACCACTTGGCTTCTAACCTTTCAGCACTCCCAACTGCTTACCAGTGTATCTCTTCCCTCTTCTTTTCAGACAGGTCTTGGTGATAAATGGACTTTGGCACACATCTCACTAGAAACCATATTTTACATATGTACACTATTCCATAGCTACTTGATATAATTTTCCAATATTATTTGAGTAACAGATTCTGGCAATTAAGTTCATTTGTCAGTAACCACCAGTTAATCATGGAGGAAGAATTCTACTTTCACAACTTCTCTCTGTTAAATTCTATAAGCATATTCTTTTATTTGGAATTAATTGTAAATTCTGCTCTCAGAATTACACATGTAAGTTGTTTAAATAAATACCCACACAAATTCTCATTTATACCAAGTAGCTGGTTTATATTTATATCTTCCATCTTAAGAGGTGAAAACAACCATTTTGGAATTCATAGAAAAATAAACAAAGAACACTCAGTTGCAGAAGTGTAAGAAAATGTTAACTTTTAAAATGTCACTTATTTTCCTTAAAGTTCTCTACCCTTCCCATCCACGATAAACCAAGATCATGTAACAGGGTTAAATTCCAAAATCAATCTTTAATTCAATCCCTTTCTCTAAAAGAAAGGACTTCTCTCTTTCCTTGACTTCTCTTTCCCTCAAATGAAGCAAAACATGAGGCAATTAAATTTCAAAACCTCAAGGTTTCATCCAGATTACTTTTATGTATCTGTTTCAGTAGGGAACCACAATTCTACCCCTGCATTTCCCAATGGAAGTACTTCTCACCAAAGGGCTAGGCCACATGTTCTCTTGACTAGGAATACACAGCTCAAAATCTGGTGTTTATTAAATGTGTACAATATGTAGGTGTAATTGGCATTTTAAGAAATTCAGTAATGCCCATTACAAATAACTTATCTGGACAGACTAAAAAATAACTGGTTAACTTCAAAATAAAAAGAACCACTTGCATAATAACATATTTGTATCTTGATAAGAATGAACCACTGTGACCTGGGAGAGTCTAGAAATTCTTGGGTTAATTATAACAACATGGTGATAGGTTTTTCAAGGTACTTTCTAAACTCAGCAAGCCACTGGGCTCCAACTGCTCCATCCACAACCCGATGGTCACAACTGAGTGTAACAGACATCATGCTAGCCACATCAAATCTAGAAAAAGATAAAAACATTATTAGGTATTCTGAAAGCAATTGCTAATTTTTAGCCAGTAACCAGCCCAAATGCCAACTCCTACCCTGTAATTCCAACCAGATACTATTATTTTCCACTTACTCGTTATGTACTATACACCTCTAGCTCAACCTCCAGCTTGACAGACCAAACAGCCATCTGGAGCATCGGTTGGCAAACTACAGCTCACAGACCAAATCCCGCCAAATGCATTTATGTAGTGCCTCTGTCTGCTTTCACACTACCACGTCAGAGTATTTGCAACAGAGACCATATGACTCAGAAAACCTAAAAGATTTACAACCCGGCTCCACAAAAACGTATGCTGACCCCTGACCTGTGATAACTCAGCCTTCCCATCTCATATAGGATTAACTGCATTTAGTAAAAGAAGAATTGCTGCTCTGAGAAACTTCATTCTAGACTTGTATCTGACTCTACCTGAAGCTCCAACAGGCTATGCCAATAATTATAAAACTGAGACTCAAAAACAGGTATAATGGAATGAAAATGAGCTTACAACTCCCTCTTTATTTTGGTACTTACCCTTTTTCATTATCTGCTGGAACCAGTCTATCCTCTGAAGCACCAATCGCCAAAATACATGCTTGAGGTGGGTTAATAATAGCAGAGAAGTTCTTAATTCCAAACATCCCTAAATTAGATATTGTAAAAGTACCACCCTAGAAGAAAAGAGATTAAAAATAGATGTTAATTGCTTCTCAACATTAAAAAAAAGACAAAATGTTACATGAAAAGACCTTAAGATCATCTTTAAGAAAGGCCTATGAACTACCATTTAAAAAAAAAAGGAAAGGAAAATGGTAAGCGCATGAATACACATATCAGAACATCAAGTTGTGCAACCTAAATGTATATAATTCTTATTTGCTATTTTTTTTTTTATTTTTTTTCAAAAAAAAAAAAATTTATTTTTGAGACAGAGAGAGACAGAGCATGAATGGGGGAGGGTCAGAGAGAGGGAGACACAGAATCCAAAACAGGCTCCAGGCTCTAAGCTGTAAGCACAGAGCCCGACGCGGGGCTCGAACTCACGGATCATGACCTGAGCCGAAGTCAGCCGCTTAACCGACTGAGCCACCCAGGTGCCCCTCTTATTTGCTATTTAAATACAACAATAAAGCTGAAAGTGGGGAAAAAGGCCTGAATGGAATACACTTTAATGAAAATATACAAGCATTACAATATGAACAAAAGTCAGTTGTGTGCCTTTTGAAAATTGCTGGAAAATTTCTTATTTTCAGTTTCTGATAGGTTATTCACTTTTTATTTTCAGGGCCTTGTGTCCATGAGAATACAAGGCATAATCAAAAGGTGGAAAATGCAATAAAAGCATTATGCTGCCCTTAAAAATAACGTAATTCTTAACATTCAGAAGGTAAATAAGTAATACTGTACCTGGAACTCATGAGGCTGGAGTTTACCCTCTCGTGCTTTGGTTGCTAAAGAAACAACATCATTAGCAATGGCTTCCAGTCCTTTTATATGTGCATTAAATACAATAGGTGTAATGAGTCCTGCAGGAGTGCTGACTGCAACACTGATATCGACTACATGATTTCTATTGCAAAAGAAAAAAGAAAAGGACACTTTAATAATCATCAACAGTATTAAGAGCTTATGTGTCAGGTTAAGCAAAAATATTGATATTTATCTCAGTCTGGCCTACTGTTCAGCCAGAGAGATATCTCTTCTGGTGTTTACATTTTGCTATGCCCTTTCCCTAACTTGGACTTTTTGCAAATGGACAAGAAATGGGGTTGGTTACACATAACCTCCAACTGCCTCCCACTTGCCTTGACTGGCAGGTGGAAAATGCCCAGCATTCAGTGAGAATTAAACAAGAACTCAAAGAACTCCCTGGATTTTGAGATGCAGTGGACTGGCTGGAGCTGAGCCTCCAGGCAGAGCTTGAGCAGATGGAAGGAAGAGTGGAGGGAGTGTACTGCACCGTGGGAGAATCAGAGCTCAGGATGTAGGATGGTGGTGTCTCAGGACAGAAAAATAGGATTCCCAATCTGTATTATGCCACAGGTACCTTTGCATCTGTGTCCTTTCTCAGAGTATGTATTTTTAACAAAGAAAATAAAATACTCAAATTACAAATAAAAAAAAAACCACAACCAAACAAAAAGCCCCAACTATACGGAAATTCAATTACCAAACTATTCAAAAAACAAAACTGCGGGTGCCTGGGTGGCTCAGTCGGTTAAGCTTCCGACTTCGGCTCAGGTCATGATATCATGGTTTAGGGGTTTGAGTCCCAGCTCAGGCTCACTGCTGTCAGTCTGTCAGTGCAGAGCCTGGAGCCTACTTCAGATTCTGTCTCCCTCCCTCTCTGCCCCTCTCCTACTTGAGCTCTGTCTCTGTCTCTCAAAAATAAATAAACATTAAAACATTTTTTAAAAATTGTGACACGTGCTTCTGTATTAATAAGATCAGGCAAGAGGTCTAATAATTGCTACAATTTTGAAGTAGTGATAAGCAAAAACCACTTTTAAGACTCCTGCAACAAAGCTGCGATATGAAAATAGGTGATTTTTACTGGTCACCAGCACAAGTACTGTTAATACCTCTTTGATTTGTTCTCTACATTTACGGTAAGAGGAAATGCCAAATTTCAGTTAGAGGTTAGTGGAAAGGAATGACTTTTTCCCCCTCAGCCAAGTTCCCAAACTCCCAAATTGTATCCACAGCCTCCTTGGGGTCTGTGTAAGGGCCCGTGCTGATGTATTCTGCAATTGAGAAAAAGTTAAAACTTCACAGGAAGAACTCCAGCTATTTCTAGGCACAAGCTTTAGAATATTATGGTATGGTACCAAATCCCTCAAAGTGCCCAAGCTGAGCCCTCAAAGTGCCCAAGCTGAGCAGGGCAGTGGGACTGTCACTGGTAAACATAAGAATGTGCTCTAATGATAGTGTGTGACTATCACAACTGGGCTCTAGCCAAGGAATGACATAACGAACACTCCTTTCTTAACTACCCTGTCCTCCTAAGCGAGTAAGCATGGTGTTTCTCACCTTGTTCACTGATGAATATAGCCAACAGTACATGTTCAATAAATATCTGTTGAATGGCTATGTAAACAAACAGATGAAGGGCATTTGGTAGGAATCAATGAACAATTCATAGAACTTGCCCTGTAGCCTTGATCTGTTCTTCAAAGAAGTGTTTTCTTCAAATACTCTTAAAATGTGAAACATTAATTTACCCTATGACCCAGCAATTCTACTCCAAGGAATGAACCCAAGAAAAATAAAAATGTAGGTCAACACAAAGAATTATACACATATGTTCATAACAGCTCTCTAGAAGATACATCTTTGTCTTAATCCCAGAATCTATCAATGTGATCTTATTTAGTAAAAAAGATCTTTGCAGATTTAATTAGGATCTTGAGATGAAATCATCCTGGATTATCTGGGTGGGCCCTAAATCCAATGCCAAGTACCCTTGTAAGAGACAGAAGAGAAGACATGGACACAGAGGAGAAGGCCATGTGAGGATGCAGGCAGAGGTTAGAGTTATGCAGCCACAAGCCAAGGAATGCCCAGAGCCACCAAAACTGGAAAAAACAAGGGAAGATTCTCCCCTAGAGCCTATGGAGGGAGTGCAGCCTTGCTAACACCTTACTTTTGGACTTTTGGCCTTCAGAACTATGAGAGAATAAATTTTTCTTTTAAGCCACCAATTTTGTAGTCATTTGTAACAGAAGCCCTAGAAAACTAATATAGTCTATAAGGTATAGTAAGACCCTCAGATGTCCTCCCAGAGGGGGATGGCCAAGGAAAAAGCATGAGTAGGTTACTGTGACATCTGACAGGACTGAAAAATGGCTTAGAGTTCTCCTGGGAACTTTCAGAAAGAACTGATGGTGAGTACATAGAAAACTAGCTCCTTTTTAGGGAACCATTAAGATCAGCCTGGTCACTATTCACAGCATATTACATCTCTTAGTCATAAATAATATTTTTATGGGCATAAAAATATTAATACTGAATACTGATTTATCCAATATTTGTGCTGTAATCAATTTGATAGGATAATGGTGTGTGGGTGTGTGTGTGTGTGTGTGTGTATACGGAAAGTATAACAAAGCTAAATCTCAGCCTTCCTTAATACCAATAAGTTGATAAAGAAAATGAAAAACCCATAAAAGGCAAATGAACAATGTTTTTTAGAAATACAAAAGTAAATACCAGGGGGAAAAGAAACAGTTTAAAAGTTGTATTTGCCTCTTGGGAGTAGACCTCAGATTAAAAGTTGAGTAGGTTGGGGTGCCCAGGTAGCTCAGTCGGTTCAGCATCTGACTTCAACTCAGGTCATGATCTCGTAACTTGTGAGTTCGAGCCCCACATGAGGCTCTCTGGTCTCAGCACAGAGCCTGCTTTGGATCCTCTGTCTCCCTCTCTCTGCCCCTCCCCTACTCACTCTCTCTCAAAAATAAATAAAAATTAAAAAAAAATTTTTTTACCATACAAAGCTTGAGCACTGGGTGTTATATGTAAGTGATGAATCACTAAATTCTACTCTGAAACCATTCTTTCATTATGTTAACTAACTTGGATTTAAAAAAAAAAAAAAAAAGTTGAGTAGGTCACTGTAAGCCAGGGAGCAATATTCTAAAAAAAAAATTTTTTTAATGTTTTATTTTGAGAGAGAGAGAGACACACAGAGTACAAGTGGGGGAGCGGTAGAGAAAGAGGGAGAGTTCTGAGCTGTCAGCACAGAGCCTGGCATGGGGCTCAAACTCACAAACTGTGAGATCATGACTGGAGCCAAAGTCAGATGCTTAACCAACTGAGCCACTCAGGGAGCAATATTCTAATGTATACACTCTTATTTTAATAAAAATTAAATAATAACATAAAAGAATCTACATAGTACAAGCCTAGGCACAGGAGTCAGAATCCTGGTTCCAGTCACAGTTTTGCTACTTCCTAACAAATTAATCCAAGGAAAGTTATTTAACTCATTGAGCTTCAGGTTTCTTCATCTGTAAAATAGAAGTGAAAGTCCCTAATTCATAAGGTGGCCATAAGGATTAAAATGAGACAACATGTGAAAGACAGCACCATGCCAGTCACATGCTACCATATACTTTTTTTTAAATGTTTATTTATTTTTGAGAGATTAAGAGAGAGAGCACACGAGCAGGGGAGGGGCAGAGACAGGGAGACAGAGGATATGAAGTAGGCTCTGCACTTCAGGAAACAATATTAGTTTCCTGAGACGCAGAGCTCAAACCCATGAACCGTGAGATCATGACCTGAGCCGAAGTCAGATGCTTAACTAACTGAGCCACCCAGGAGCCCCACATAATATTAACAAATATGTTTCTTGGTACTGTTTTCAATTTGCCTTCATTAAAGTTCAGCAGAATTAACTGGTAAATAAAAACCATTTCAACCTTGCTTTCTAAAGTTTGTTATCAACTTTAATTATTCATATCTGTAAATTTACCTTCCTTTGCTACACTCAAAGAATTTGTAGTCCTTCCTAACTGAACATTACCTCATCAACAGTTTTACATTGTTTTCAATCTGTTTTGCCTATGGAAGTCATCTCCCTCCTGTATTCCATTTCTCCGCACCCCCTATACTCCTAGTTCTACATGAGAAACCACAAGAAAACTGCTGATGGATATACACCTTCCCCAGCAGTATCTTACTTACTGTCTTATAACTGTGTCCAGCCAAGAAGAATTGGTTTCAGGAACTTTTAAACATGCCAAAGCTGAAGCTTTTATGATGAAGTCATTGACAGAAATTTTGCTTCTCCCTTCTAACATCTGCAAAGACAAGAAACCATTGTATTTTCTTCAATTCTCTTCCTGCAGACTGAAACTATATCACCTGGCAGGGGATGTGAGAGGGGCAAACACAAATGTCCTGAGGTATAAAGGATGAAATGAAACTAAATTTGGTTGTTTCAACTTTTTTAACGTAGGTCTTTTCAGCCATAAGTTTCCCGCTAAGCACTCCTTTAGCTGTGTCCCATAAGTTATGGTATATTAAAAAGGCCGCCTTTTTCACTTATCTCAACAAAATCAAAAGTTGGTTCTTTGAAAAGATCAACAAAATGATAAATGTTTAGCCAGACTGACAAAGAGAAAAAGAAGACTCAAATTCCCAAAATCAGAAATGAAGTAGAGGACATTACTATATGCCCTACAGGAATAAAAAAGATTACTGGTAATACTATGAACACCTATATGCCACAATTAGCTAACTTTGAGAAAAATTCCTAGAAAGACAAAAACTACCAAAACTGAATCAAAAAGAAATAGAACCTCTGAATAGATCTAGAGCTAACAATAAAGAGACTGAATGATAATTTAGAAACTACCCACATAAGACAGCCTAGATCCAGACGGCTTCCCCAACTGGTGAATTCTGCCAGACATTTAAAGAAGAATTAGTATCAATTCTTCACAAACTCTTCCAAAATAGGGAACACTTCCCCACTCATTCTAGAGGTCAATATTAATCCAATACCAAAACCACACCAAGATATAATAAAAAAACAAAACAACCCAGAAAAAACAAAACTATAGACAAGTATAATTTATGAATATAGATAACAAAAACTCTCAAAAAAACTCTAGCAAACCAAATCCAGCAATACAAGAAAAGGATTATTCACCATGATCAAATGGGATTTGTCCCAGGAATGCAAGGATGGTTTAACATCTGAAAATCAATTAATCTAATAATGTCCTAATGGAACATAGGACAAAAATCACACAACCATCTCAACAGACACAGAAAAAGCAGACAAAATTCAACCACCACTTCATAAAAACTAGGAAAAGAAAGGAAGTTCCCCAACCTGATGATAAAACAGATCTACAAAAGCTCAGAGTCGTCATCATCATACTTTAGTGGTAAAAGACTTACATCCCCTTAAGATCAAGAACAAAACAAAGACGTCCACTTTACCACTTCCAGTCAACACTTTGCTAGCCAGAGAAGCCAGCCAGAGAAGTTGCCCAAGAAAAGGTATCCAAATTGGAAAGGAAAAAGTACAACTATGTTTGCAGATGACATGATTTTGTATATAGAAAATCCTAAGGAACACACTAAATAAAAAATAAGGTTGTAAGATACAAGATCAATATACAAAAATCAATGGTATTTCTATACAATAGCAGTGAACACGAAATTTATAATAGTATTAAAAAGAATAAAATACATAGGAACAAATTTAACAAAAGAAGTACAAAAACTTACACTCAAAAAATTATAAACATGATTGAAAGAAATGAAAGACCTAAATAAATGCAAAGACACCCCCTGTTCACGGAGTGGGAACACTGTTAAGAAGGCAATACTCCCTAAGTTGATTTATCGATTCCATGAAGTCCCTATCCCTATAGGAAATATCCAAAACAGGCAAATCTAAGATAGAAAGTAGGTAAGAAGTTGTCTAGGGTTGGGGAGGATGAGAGGGGTGGGGTGGGGGCTATGGCTAAGGAGAGAATGGTTTCATTTTGGGGTGATAAGAAGGCTCCAAAATTTATTGTGGTGATGGTCACAGAATTCTGAATATACTAAAAGCCACTGAATTATAAACTTTATATGGGTGAATGGTATTATATGTGCATTATATCCAAATAAAGCTGTTTAAGAGAAATGAATAAAATATTACACTGGACATATATTTTTCATGCCTGATTTTCAAATAAATTATAAAATAGCTTTAACATTTTGACAATGAAAGTAAGCAATCAACTTTAACCTCTGTGCCAGTTAAAAAGCTCTGTTAATGCTTCATTGCTTCATTCTTTCATGCATCTAATATTTGAGTACTCCGTTCAGACATAAAGCTCTAAAGCCCTGGATATAAAGCAGTGAAAAAAATGGGTAAAAATTCTACTCTCAGGGGGCTTATGTTTTTTTTTTTTTAATGTTTACTTATTTTTGAGAGAGAACGCATGTGCACAAAAGGGAAAAGGGCAGAGAGAGAGGGGGACAAAGGATCCAAAACAGGCTCTGCGCTGATAGCACAGAGCACAATGTGGGGTTCAAACTGTCAAACTGAGAGTTTGTGACCCAAGCTGAAGTCAGACGCTTAACCAACTGGGCCACCCAGGTGCCCTGGGGAACTTAACAATCTAAAGGGGTGGATAGATAATAAACATACAGCATATAAAATAATGTTACACGATAAAGAAAAAAAATAGAGGAAAAGAACTAGGGGGAGAAGTGACGAGTCACCCCAATCCTCTTCCCTTAATTTTAGAATAAGGTGACCAGGAAAGACTAGAGAGGGTGATATTGAGTCAGATCCTTCGGTGGTAAAGGAGGAAGCCAGGTAGATGCTAGAGGGTGAATATTCCATGCACAGGGAACAGCAAGTGCAAGGGGCCTCAAGTAGGAGTACACAGGTGGAACATCAAGGAACAGCAAGGCAACCATTGTTTTTGCAGCAGAGTGAACAAGTGGGAAAAGTAGTAGGAGGTCAGAGAGGCTACAGATAACCTGTATAAGGTGCTGAATGCTGTTCTAATGCCCTCAGTGCCACTGGCTTTTACTTTTCACTTCTTTGAAAACATCTTTCATATCCCTCTCCTACTCCATTCTTTTTTTTTTTTAATTTTTTTTTCAACGTTTATTTATTTTTGGGACAGAGAGAGACAGAGCATGAATGGGGGAGGGGCAGAGAGAGAGGGAGACATAGAATCGGAAACAGGCTCCAGGCTCTGAGCCATCAGCCCAGAGCCCGACGCGGGGCTCGAACTCACGGACCGCGAGATCGTGACCTGGCTGAAGTCAGACGCTTAACCGACTGCGCCACCCAGGCGCCCCTCTCCTACTCCATTCTTAATGCAACTGTCTAGTCCAGACCCTTATCATGCTAACAGGACAAGCATAACTAGTCTCTGCCATTAAAGCACACCACTATATATCTACTTAGACTAAACTTACTTAAAATATTGCTATCATCATGTCACTATTACTGGTTTCTTCATGTCTAATTCATCAAGTCCAAATTGTTCTGCTTGTAAACAAGGTCTTCCCTAAACCAACAACTGCATACCCACCCTAGAAAAAGGTAGTCTCTCTTCCACATCTGCAATACTTACTTCCTTTCTTGAAAGCATTTTACCTCTATGGTATTCCATCATTAGAATGAACTTTCTACAACTTCTTTGCAATTCAAACACATACTATTCTACATGGCTTAACCAAGTTTTTCTTACACCACTGTGAATTCCCCAACTACTTTTACTGGGTTCCTCCTCTGAATTCCTAGAACACTTAACCCATACAACATAATTTAGCAGACAAAGGACATTACCATAAAGAGACTGATGTACAAATAAGTATTTTTACTTTAATAAAAATTGCCTTCTCTGTTTTTCACATGCATTATCTCAATTAGATTATAAACTGAAACTCATGGAGAAGGACTATACCTTATTCTATCTTCCCAAAAGTGCCTTATACTAAACACTAAATAGGTAATTGGTACTTAACTGCAAACACAGAGTAAACATACTCTTATCTAGCTTATCTTATCTAGCTTCATGGGATCACAGTGACTGAGCTAGGCTACAATGGATCCAAGGCAAAATCAACTTTAAATAATAAGCTTTAATCAAGGATTAGAAAATGAAAATTGTCCAGGATATTCTCTCGGCAAGTTGAAATTATGAAGACACCATTTTCCAACATCAACTGGCATACTGGAACAAAAAATATGGGCAAAAATGTATATATTTAGTGGGGAAATACAAGCATTTTAGAATTTACAGAGTTGGAATTTCCAGACCTTTTACCTTATTAAGTTCTTTCCGTACCAACAAAACTTCTCCCATATTTACGTCAATGGAAAGGTAATAATGAGGTATGGTTTGCTTAGACTGCATTAACCGCTGTGCAATAACCTAGAATCAAAGACATTAAAACATCACTTGTCTTAAGTGGTTCTTTTCTTTATTACCTAATTCAGGACTCTGTTTGCCCCTTTACTAGCTCCCTGGTAATGCTTACCTCAAGCATTATAACTGGAATATGGAGGACTGCACCGTAACCTGGGCCCCTTCTAGTGGTGTTTAATCAATATAATGTTTGTTTTTCCCAAGTATCTAATTGGCCAAAGCAAACATCTTAAACTAGTCATCTATGATTCCCAACTAAAAAAAGTCTCTGTTAGCGTTTCAAACCATGAATGCAATTAAACAATCAGAGTAAAGACGCCCCCTATGGTGCTGGTTGCAGATTTAGGGTAATATTCTTACGCGACGAATGTTGCTGACTGGGACATCTGTGAAGACACCTGTGGGAACGGGTGCCACTCCTGGACCCGGGGCAGGCACAGCAGCTGCTGGAGCCTATGGGGAAGTAAAAAAGCTCTTAGTAACTGACTCAATCCTGGCATATACAACTGGGGCAAGTCAGTGACTCTACAGATGGCAAAGTACAAATTAGAAGGCTTACAGAAAATAGCTATTTCTATCCCAAGGGAGCAAAAGGGACTCATATTTGTACTGTGCTTACACAACAGTTCTGATTTTAATTTTTATACTTAGAATTCTGTAATCATGTCTTAAGTATCATTTTTCTTCGTTCAACGATTAGTTTGTCAAAATAATTTTGTATCTGCAAAATTACCTTCAAGAAAAACAATCAAAGCATTCTTAAACTGAAAGAAGTAGACATAAACATAAACAAGGTAATTATTTTTCTGGACAGTGTTAAAAAACAATGACAAATCTTTCATTTTAAAACAAACATCTAAATAACTAAATCATTTTCCTTACTTTTAGCTAATAATCTTAACAATTTAAACCAACTAAACACTAGTTGATTGGTTATGTGGATTTAATCCCTGTGTGGAATAATTAACCACATAAAATTCAAACTCTATTCAACCAACTTGTAAGCATGCTTTTAAAAACAGAGCCAGTCAGGGATGCCTGTGTGGCTCAGCCAGTTAAGCATCCAACTATAGTTCAGGTCATGATCTCACGGTTTGTGGGTTGGAGCCCCGTGTGGGGCTCTGTGGTGACAGCTCAGAGTCTGGAGCCTGCTTCAGATTCTGCTTCCATCTCTCTCTGCCCCTCCCCCATGCTCGCTCGGTCTCAAAAATAAATAAAACGTTAAAAAAAAAAAATCAAAATAGGGCCTGAGTGAGAAGGAGGGTTTGTTAGGAAAAATTCAGTACCACTGGAAAAAAAAATTGGAATGCGTGTCAAGGTAGCATTATTATCTTTCCTTTTTTTTCCTTTTTAATGTTTGTTTATTTTTGAGAGAGAGTGCACATGATCAGGGGAGGGGCAGAGTGAGAAGGGGACAGAGGATCTGAAGCAGGCTCTGCAGTAAAAGCAGTGAGCCCAACGCGGGGCTCGAACTCGTGAACTGTGAGATCATACCTGAGCTGAAGTTGGACGCTCAACTGAATGAGCCACCCAGGCAGGTGCCCCTCATCTTTCCTTGTGAATGGTGAATGACAGCACATTCATATCTATATAGTGCTAGCCAGTGAAATTAGGCAAAACACAATTCTGGTCAAGCTATTGCATTCATAAATAATGTATGAAAGGGTCTAACAGGTTGGACAAAACATTTTGCAAGAACAAAGTGCCAAAAAAAAAAAAAAGCCAAATGTAACTCACAGGAGCAGCTTTAGTAGGCACAAAAGAGTCGATATCCTTCTTGATGATTCTGCCTTCTGGTCCCGTCCCTGCAAGAGACGCATAAATATCACACATGTGACAGCACACCACTGGTTCCTCTGGGATATCGACACCGTGATCCTGAAGTGCAAGTTCCTAAGGGTTCTCTACCAAAGACCCTCTGAAGTGGCCACTGCTCTACTCCTGCACCTTAAAGTTCTCTCTAAAACAATAGCAGCTTTTATGCAATTATTAATTTTGATTCAGAGTGCTCTTGTTTGAGCTGTAGCCGTTCTTTTCTTAATTACTACAGCAAATGCTCCGTTACACGAATGTGATAACCGCTACGCTATGGAAACCCTGTGGCAGCAAATGCTCTTTGTTAAGTATTTCTCTTTCAGAGTTTTGTATCAGTTGTTCTTCATTTTTTCATGTCCTTTACTTTTAAATTGGGAAATAATGGCATATGGCTAATGCTGAATACAATTTATACCTCCAAAACAAAGTCTAGCTGCCTCTTCTCCTAGGCAGCTCCAAAAAAACCCTTTATGAATCTTGAAATGGATCTCGTTTGAGTTCTAGAGTCGTTTGATCGTAAAGAATTCCCTTTGTACAGAGTCGACAGGACAACTAGTTCAGATAATTTTTTCACCCCAAAATAGCTTGAATACCTCTCAGCTGCAATGATCTTATCTCTAGAATTGTTTCTTCCTCGTGTGGGCTCCATCACTCACAGCTCTGTCACACTTGCCAAGGCTCTAACCTGGCCTATGTCAGAGGCCTGGGAGTGAAGTGTGTGCAATGTCACACGTGAGGAAAAATCTTTAAAATCCTCTCACAACAGGCTGAGTTTTATTTTCCCTCAATTTCCTTCCTCCGCCCATCCACAACCAATCAGCTTTAACTTTAGACCCAAACAGATTCCTGAACCTTAATTCTAAGGAGATTCAGAATTTAGTTATTTAAAATACCTTTTATACTGGCCCACTTCTAGAAAAAATTTGGTCAAATTGATTCATCTTCCCCCAAGGCAGACTTTTAAATGATTCTTGTTGTACGCAGTTCGTCCCAACTCCTTTCCTTCATTATGAAAAATGAGTTGGCTAGGATTGTGCTTATCCTCACCCGGAGCTCTAGAACAGAGGTAGCAGTACCCCTATTAGATTCTCCTCTTTTATAAAAGACAGAACCCATAACCTCCCATTACCACCAAGGCTGATCTGGACACCACAGCCCCTTGAGAGGAGGAGACCTACAGAATCACCTGCCTTTGGTTGGGCTTCAGCCACCCTCAAGAAATTCCCATTAGGAGTCAGCTGAAATCTTTTAAATGTTTCTGTCCATCTCCCTACAGAGGCACAACAGGCCATCATAAAGCAATATGGTATAAAGGGAAGAACACCGGGCTAGGAGGAAAAATGCAAGGTTGTGTCAGATAAAAATTAGACACAGCCTCTGTGCTGGTCTTTTTAGTCTCATCTATAGGACACAGGTTATAATGCCGGCCCCTGCTCAAAGGAATGTGTGAACACTGAAGATCAAATGGGATAGTGATGTGAAGTGCTCTGCCTCAAAGAAATAGAAAACAAACATGGGGACCTGGGAGACAAATCAAACTTGGACACTAGGGTTTAGGCTTTAAAACGGTTTCTGGCTGGGACACCTGGGTGGTGTCTGTCAGCACAGAGCCTACTTGGGACTCACTCTCCTTCCACTCCTCCCCTGAGCATGTATACGCTCTCTCTCTCAAAACAAATAAAAATAAACGTAAAAAAGAAAGTTTCTCCCCAAATGAATACAAGTAGTCATATTTGCTAAGTCATTTGTCCCTCCAAGAAGGGGGGGGGGGGGGGGGAATAGAGGTTGAGTTCAACAGTTCACAGCCAAGGATTTAAATAACCATGCCTTCTTACTGAAATCTCTATCAAATAAATACTCTTAACAACAAGATTTGGAGCTTCTGGGTTGGTGAACACATCAATGTGCTAGGAGGGCAGTCCTCCGAGCGAGGGCATGCAAGCTTTGCACCCCCCCACCACAAACCACGCCTCGTCCTATGCATCTCTTCTACTGACTGCCCCTGCACATCCTTTACAGTAAACCAGTAAGTACAGTGCTTTCCTGAGTTCTGTGAGTCATTCTAGTGAATTTTCATACCTAAAGTGGGGTCTTGGGAAGTCCTGACTTACAGCCAGTAGGTCTGAAGTATGGGTGGTCCCTGGGACCTGTAACTGGCATCAGAAGTGGGGCTGTCTTGTGGGGCTGAGCCCTCAAGCCTGGGGGGCCCGATGCTAACTCTGGATAGTTAGTGTCAGAACAGGATTGAAGTGTTGGATACCCAAATGGTGGCAGAGAATGGATTGTTGGTGTGGAAAAAAAATACATTTGATGACAGAGAGGTGTCAGAAAACCCCACACAATCACTGATCCTCTCAGCTCGCTTATTCTAGACCATTCCTTCCTACTGCAAAATTTCTTCAGTCTCACCAAGACCCCCCACTCCACTGACTTGACCGCTCCCATCATCTACCATCTCCCTATCCCCTACACTTCCTCACCCAGGAACGGGTGGATCACGGTTATAGTCACTCCCTGGTCAAAATCTAAAATGTCTGCCGGTTCAAGGGAAACAAAAGCAAATATGAACTACTAGGACCTCATCAAGATAAAAAGCTTCTGCACAACAAAAGAAACAACAAAACTAAAAGGCAAGTATGGAATGGGAGAAGACATCTGCCAATGACATCTGATAAAGGGTTAGTATCCAAAATCTATAAAGAGGTTATCAAACTGAACACTCAAAAAAATAAATAATCCAGTTAAGAAATGGGCAGAAGAGAGGAGCGTGGGTGGCGCAGTCAGTTAAGTGTCCAACTCTTGGTTTCGGATCCAGTCACGATGTCACAGCTCGTGGATTTAAGCCCCACATCGGGCTCTGCGCTGGCAGTGTGGAGCCTACTTGGGATGTGCTCTCTCTCTCTTTCTCTCTCTGACCTTCCCCAGCTCATGCTCTCTCTCTTTCAAAATAAAAAAAGAAAAAAGAAAAGGGCAGAAGACATGAACCGACATTTGTCCAAAGAAGATATCCAGATGGCCAACAGAGACGATGCTCAACATCACTCATCATTAAGAAAATACAAATCAAAACCACAATGAGATACCACCTCACACCTGTCAGAATAGCTGAAATTAACAACAAAAGAAACAACAGGTGTTGGCAAGGATGTGGAGAAAGGGGAACCCTCTTACACTGTTGGTGGGAATGCAAACTGGTGTAGCCACTCTGGAGGAACATGGAGGTTCCTGAAAAAGTTAAATAGAACTACCCTATAACCCAGCAATTGTACTACTAGGTATTTACCCAAAGGATACAAAAATACTGATTCGAAGGGGCACATGCCCTCTGATGTTTATAGCAGCGCTACCGACAACAGCCAAACTATGGAAAGAGTCCAAATGTCCATCGACTGATGAAGATATAGTATATACATAAATGGCGTATCACTCAGCAATCAAAAAGAATGAACTCTTGCCATTTGCAACAACGTGGATGGAGCTACAGTACATTTTGATAAGCAGAACAAGTCAGACAGAGAAAAACGAATACCATATGATTTCACTCATATGTGGAATTTAAGAAACAAAACAGATGAACACAGAGGAAGGGGAAAAAAAAGAGGAAAGCAAACCATAAGAGACTCTTAACTATAGAGAACAAACTGTGGGTTGATGGAGAGAGGTGGCCATGGGATAGGCTAAATGCAAGATGAGTATTAAGGAGAGCACTTGTTGGGATGAGCACGGGTATTATACGTAAGTGATATAATCATTAAATTTTACACCTGAAACCAACTTTACCGTGTATGTTAACTAACTAGAATTTAAATAAAAACTTGAAAAAAAAGGTCTGCCTTCTCAGTGCCAGCATCAGAGTAGCTTAATGCTGTTGGGGACAAAAAAAGTACACACTTAGGTGACTGATTATACTCTAAATTCAGAGCCACAAACCTGAAATAGACACATAAACTGCCCAGAAACTAAGTTATATTTCCTTCGAATTCACTTTCCCTGAGAATACTACCTAACAAATTCTCTAACTGCAAACCTCCCCATACTCAGTCTCCAGCCGATACCTTCACTTCAGACTTTCTTGATCAAACTGCAGCAGAGTTATTCTCCTCGTCCTCCACCACCAAGCCTATAAATCCACCCCATATTCTCCTCTCTCCTATAAAAATAACACAAAATGTCCTTAATTCCTATCAAAAGCCAATCCTTTCCTTCCTACATTTTCAAAAACTGTTTCTTACCAAATTATTCTGCCCTTTCCTTACCATCTATTTATCCCTTTCTATTAGACCACTAGTTCTCACCAACACAATTTTGCCCCCCCGGGGGACATGTGGCAATGTCTGAAGTTGTTTTCCGTTGTTACAAGTGGGCGATGCTACTATGAATAGTGGGTAGAAGCCTAGGATGTTACTGAGCATCCTACAAAACACAAGACACCTCCCTCCCCCAAACAAAAATTATCTGGTCAAAAATATCAACTCTGCCACAGTTGAGAAACTCCATACTAGACCTCTTCTACTATCACTCACTCTCAAAAGCCCTCTCTTGAGCCCATATTCTCCTAAGCTACGTCCTATTTCTATGCCTTCCTTCATAGTGAAGCTTCTTAAATGACTTGTCCACAAAGCTATCTCCACTTCTCCATCCATATTCTACTTTTCGGCTCACTCAGACTTCCACCACACCTTTCTTTTGAAGTAACTGTTGTCAAGTCCCCATGTACCATCCTTGACTAAGTTCTGTTGATTCTGTCAAAAATGTATCTTGAAGCTGTCCATTTCTTTCCATTTTCACTGTCACCATGCTGGAAAAGTCACCACTGTCAGCTCCAGCAAAAGCCTCTTAACAGGGACCTTGGCTTTCACTTGACCCATCTGCATAAAGCAGCTAAAATGATCTTTTAAAAATACTTCCCTATTGGAGCGCCTGGGTGGCTCAGTTGGTTGAGTGCCCAATTCTTGATTTCAGCTCAGGACTTGATTCTGAGGTTGTGGGATCGAGCCCCATGTCAGGCTCTGTGCTGAGCATGGAGCCTGCTTAGGATTCTTTCTGTTTCTCCCTCTGCCCCTCTGTCCTGCTCCACTCTCTCTAAAATTAAAACACACACACACACACACACACACACACACACACACACACACAGAAACCAAAAAACCTGTCCTTATTTTAATCTTTTAGTGGCTTCCTACTATGCTTTAATAAAATTCCAATTATACAATGACCCATAAAGTGCTCCTGCTTCTCGCCCCTGTACTTCTTTCCAACCTCACCTCCTTCCACTAAACCCTCTGCTCACTATGCTCCATGAACACTGGCCTCCTCTATGTTCCTCAGACGTGCCAAGCTCTCTCCCACTTCAGATGTGTACTACTGGTCTCTCTGTGCCCAGTTCTTCACATGGTTGGCTCACAGCTGACTCCTCATCTTTCAGGTCATATCAAATTTTACCTCATCAGAAAGATCTTTCCCAACCACCATGTCTAAAAGCAGTCATGACTGCACATATATTCACCTTGTCACTCAATAGTGTATCACTTGGTTTCTTTCTTGGCATTCATCTTATGTAATAATAACAGGTTATTTTCATTTTTACAGCTAATATCTCTATATGCTGTCTATGTGCAGGCACTCTTTGTTAACTTAGTTAATCCTCAAAACCTGTAAGCCATTATTTTTATACAGAAATGAAGAAACCAAAACATAAAAGGTCATAAAGCTAGAGTACAGGAGAGCCAGGATTCGAACCTGAGCATTCCAGCTCTGGAGCCCATACTCCTAACTACTAAGCTGCATTCCCTTTCTGTTCATTTAACTCTTTATTGTTGGTAATACAGGCATCTGAAACTGAAATCTTGTCTATCTTATGAACAAGTGTTAGATGCACAGACAACACTCGATGAATTTTAAATACTGGTAAATGAATCACCTAACTCTAATTGCCTGATTAAGAACATGGGGATTTCCCCACTCACATCTTGTGTATGGCAGCCAATGTTGCTAAGTATCTCATAAACGGTCCTTCTTCACTTGTCTAAATTCTTCAGATATAATTATTAATCCAGCCCCTCTTCCCCTTAAAATCTATTCCAACTTACTTTGCTAATTCTAGTCCCAAATAACATAAAAAAGTGGCCATATGCCATTGAAACAACATGAAGACGGAAAAAAGCATCGTAAAATATTATAAAAATCCTCTGAGGTTCAAAAAGTTACAACATTCTATTCTTATTCTTTGGGGACTGGCTTGCCTTCCAAGCATGAACAAAAGCCAGCAGACAGATGATAACCAGCACTGAATGCCCACAGCCAGACAACTGGGGAAATAACCAGTATCTAGACTCAAATTGCAACTTTACTACTTAACATAACATAAAGGGAGATTCCTTAAGAGTATCTTCCTGGGGCACCTGGGTGGCTCAGTCAGTTAAGCGTCTGACTTCAGCTCAGGTCACGATCTCACAGTCCGTGAGTTCGAGCCCTGCGTCAGGCTGAGTGCTGACAGCTCAGATCCTGGAGCCTGCCTTGAATTCTGTGTCTCCCTCTCTCTCTGTCCGTCCCCTGCTCATGCTCTCTCTCCTTCAAAAATAAATAAAAATTAAAAAAAAAAAAAAAGAGTATCTTCTTATCCAAAAAATGGTGAATGAGAATTCTTATTTCAAGAAAAGAAGTGCTAAATGTGGTAATTCAGTGACTAGCTCATAGCAGAAGCCATCAAACCAGGCTTCAGGATTAGTAATTTCCACTTTGTTCAAGTAAGTACACTAATTACCTTACATTTAATTTTAGCTCAAAGACATTTATTTAAATGCCAGGCAATAATATTAATATGAACAGAACTAACATTTGTTGAGTACCTATTATACTCTAGATATTGTCTTAAGCCCTTTGCCTGTTTTAACGTACACATTATTTCAGTTTTACAGATGGAAGAGCAGATGGTTTAAGTAATTCATCTATAGACATACACAAGTAATTCATCTAAAGCCATATTACACAGAAGATGATAGAGCCAGGAGTAAACCCCAGATGGTCTGATTCAAGACCCCATACTCTTACCACGAAGCTATACTTTCTCTTTGGGGAGAGAAAGATAGGAGTAAGACATTTCCCTTTGCCCTCAAGGAGCTTTAGTTCAGTTTTATATGAATTCTATTATTCAAAGTCATTTCAAATCACCCCAGGTTTAGGTTTTGTTCACTAACAGAGACTTCTTAATACAAGGTCAAGTCATAAAATTCAACTTTGCTGCACAAGCACATTATACTTTCACCAACAATTAAGTAGTTCCCAAGAACCTAGAAAGAAAAAGGCTATCTATACTATATAGGTAGATCCTAAATGGACTGAATACAGCACAAGTTTCCCTATCTGTGGTGGCAACAAAGGAGATTACTTCACTCTCTCATCCTTCTCCCCACTGTTCCATGTAAGATGACTGTATAGTTGTACTCACTAGTCTTAAGAAGGAAACTCAAGTGAGTTTTATCTTTACAACCCCATTCCACAGAGACAGACTTACCTTTTACCTGTGTAAGGTCAATCCCTTTCTCTGCTGCCAATTTCTTTGCAAGAGGACTAACGAACAACTTTCCCTTTGGTCCAGCAGGAGTAGTAGGGCGGGTGGCTGAAGGTGTAGGGGCTACAGGTTGGGGAGTTGGAGGAACAGGGGCCACCTTTTGAAAAAAGTTAGATTGTTAATTCACCACTGCAAAGGCTGGTCTGAAAGATAAGGAGTTTTACATTTTATTAAGAAGACAAGATATATTAAGTAACTTTTATCTTTCTCTCAAAGATCATAATGCACATTTCCCCTGCTTAACCAACTTAATATAACAATATGAAGAGGAACAACAATACTTTAGGTCAAAGACAGTACCAAGTTATCTTTGTGATAACATGGAGAGGCAGGAAATTTAATACTGTTATCCAGTATATAATATCTTCATAGGCTTTCTTCACTTTACTCTCTTGCTGCTTCTTATTCTCATTTTCTTACATGACCAACATGGTTTTTGTTTTCAGTTAACATCGTGTCAAACTAATAAATTATGCTGGAAGGTTCCATGTTGAAAATATCTTAATAAACCAGCACTACTACTTGCCAGCTCCCCACAAACGTAGGGCAGTAAGAAATCAAGTTTCCTTTGACAAAAATATTGTACGTAATCTAAACTCACATGATTCTAACATCTACAGAAGGCTGGTGATAATGTTATCTATGCCTGGACTTCACACAAGTACATAATAGATATATAGTATATAATGTAGAGCATATAGCAACAAGACTAAATTCTAAGCAAAACAAGCCATGTTACATCAAGGTTCTAATGTATTATAAACAGAAACCTGACCCACTATCATAAGCAAATACAAGAGTACTGACAGTAACAAAGATTAGTTGACCCTCCAACGACATGAGTCTGAACTACACAGGCGCATTTACACACGGATTTTTATGGTATGGGACTGTAAATGTGTTTTCTCTCCTTTATGATTTTAATAACATCTTCTTTCTCTAGTGTGCTTTAAGAATACAGCATACAATCTATATAATATACTAAATATATGTTAATGGACTGTCTACGTTGTTGGTTAAGGCTTCTGGTCAATAGCAGGCTTAGCAGTTAAATTTGGGGGGAATCCAAAGTTATACACGGATTTGCAAGGGCGCAGTTAGTGCCCCAGTCCCTGTGTTGTTCGTGAGTCAACAATATATAATAAATTCTACAGAAACTGGGGAATGAAGTATTAACTTCCATATACATATCTACACCTAAAGCATAAAAAGAACATATCATCTCAGCTTTATTCTCAGCAGACCTCATGACAGTAGGAAAAAAGAAACAGACACAGATCAAACAACTATTAGGTGGGCAGGGCAGTGCCACATACCTGTAGATCTCCACAAATGCTCACTATGTCCATCTTTTTTTGTTTTTCTTTTTCAGATTTTTTTTTTTTTAATTTTTTTTTCAACATTTATTTATTTTTGGGACAGAGAGAGGCAGAGCATGAATGGGGGAGGGGCAGAGAGAGAGGGAGACACAGAATCGGAAACAGGCTGCAGGCTCTGAGCCATCAGCCCAGAGCCTGACGCGGGGCTCGAACTCACGGACCGTGAGATCGTGACCTGGCTGAAGTCGGACGCTTAACCGACTGCGCCACCCAGGCGCCCCTTTTTTTTTTTTTTTAAGTAATCTCTACACCCAACATGGGGCTTGGATTCACAACCCCAAGATCAAGTCACGCGCTTCTCCAACTGAGCCAGCCAGGTGCCCCTAACTATCTCCTTCTTTATTCGTAGAGTCTTAGGGCGGGAAGGAACCTAGGATATTATCCAGTCTAATCCCTTAATTTAAAGATGAACAAGGTAATGTTCCCTCAATTCTAGAAGCATACATACCGGGGGTGGAGGAGATGGTGGTGCTTGTGGTTTTAAATCAGTTACTTCAGTTGGCCTATAGTCAGCAAATGCTGGTATATCTTCCTCTTTTTCTACAATGATACAGAGTGGGGTTCCTAGAGGGACATCTCTTGTGCCTTCAGGGATCAGGATTTTTGCCAGGTAACCCTCTTCCTGTACTTCAAAACCTTGAATAGAAAGAAAAACCATTATGGAACTTAAGGGACTCCACTATCTCACCAAACTCAAAGCAGTTTTAAGTAAAAAGCTCTTCTCCTTCAAGCAAGCTACCCAACCTTTGGTGAGCTACTCTACCTCTCTATGTCACAGCTCCTTCAACTACAAAATGGGGTAACAATAATACCTACCTCACAGGGACGTTATAAGAATTAATATTTTCTAAGAACCTAGAAACAGTACCTGGTACAAAGTAAATACTAAATAAATAGCTGTTAAATAACACTATGAGAGATTACAGACAGTAGTTAATTCTGAATATTTTTCTAAAACATCTCTAAGAGAAGCCCCTACACAGACCCATAAGACCCCAAGCTGGCATCAACTGTACCAGTATGACATCAGCTGTACTGCTAAAAATAAGAACCACATGGATGTTAAATTAAGGAAACTACTAGGTTTGACAGTAATGTGGGATAAATTATGCCCCTAAAAGCAACTTTGGAGTTTTTCAAAGAGATTATATTGGGTATTCAACTATTCCAATGTAAAGAATATGGTACTACTAGGGTTTCTAAGGAATTTACAACTTAACATTTTATTCAGCTACTGCTCTTGGAAAGAACTCCAATGTGAAGTGTTTCAAAAGTAAAACTAAAAGAAGCCATCGCAGAGAACAATTTTTGCCTTGCAGATCTGGGCTTTCTGTTGTGTTGTGCCTCTCCCTGATGAACACATCTTTGACGAATCTTTCCCTTCTCCAGTTAAGCATTAATATCCAATAAGAGATTAAAAAAAAAAAGAAAAAAAGACTTCAGGGCCACAATGGAGTTGGACCAAGGTAATACTTCTCCAGTGCCTAGAGTCTCTAGAATACTATCTCCATAGCTATACTGGTATTCAAGTTAAAATGCAAAGCTCATCTATTGTTACCAAGATGTTTGTTTATTTCTTTTTCACAAACAGAATCCTTTCTTCTAACAAAATCTTCTGGGAGGAATACAATATACAAAAGGATAAAAAAGTGGTTGCCCTGGTGGAAGTTGGGAAAAGGGGCAGGGCGCAACAAAGTCCTGTCATGAAGTCTCCTTGCCCCAAGGTACCATCAAGGACTCAGGGGGTTGGAAGAACACAATCTAAAAACCACCATTGCAGAGGATGCCCAGAATCTCCCACTGCATCCTTGAGGACTGGACAGGAAATAGATTCATCTACTAATTATCTGTAAATATCATCACAAATATGCAATTGTCTAGGTGGGTTTTGTTCTGAGCATAACAATGAATCAGAAAGGGAATACATGGAAATGTGACATGATACCCGAACAGGTATATAAACACTCTTATCAGTCATTCTCAAACTATGAAACCAATCCAAACCCTGGTTTTAGTTTTTCCTCACAGACATCTTAAATTCTTTGGTATTTTCCTGCCTTAGAAGTACTTTTCTCATGTTTCTTCTTTTTTCCCTTGCCCAGTTTAGAGAATGGCGGTTCTGATGTAGCTTCTTAGCAACATAGGAATGTTAAGAAGCAAACTCTAACCTAAAAATAATCTCTAAGTTGACATATCCTTGATTCATTTAGAGTGTGGTGTGGAACTGACAAATCCCACTACATACACTTCTGTTATGACATATTCTGTTCCAGGAAATGAATCCCCAAAATTAAAATTTTTCATGTTATCACTCACTCATTATAGGATAGGACGGCAATCCTCTTCCCTCATTGGAAAACTCAGTGCCTCAACCATTAAGAGCTGAAGAAATCTCACCTATAGTGGCCTTGTCAGTCTCTATCTCTGCCAATAAATCTCCTTCACTTAGCTTCTCACCCACTTTTTTTTCCCATCTCTGAACTGTGCCCATGGTCATGGTGGGAGAGAGGGCAGGAAGAACCACCTGCAGAAACAAACACACATTACTGCTTAATACGAGGAAGACTTGGAAACAATGGCACTCAAACAAGCTTCAATAGCTTTATGGAATGATAGTGACTCTGATGATCCAAATTCCCATCTGTCTAATGCCTTCCTAAAGTAAAAGTTCAATGCCTCAATGTCCCACCAGTTAAATCATCCTTCAAATCTCAAGCTTTACATTATCACTCATACTTTGATTCCTCCCCCTCCAAAGTTAAAAGCAATGGGTATACATGAAAGATTTCTTCCTAGATAGTCAAAATTAATTCAATTACATCTCTAAACACAGAATATCTTTTCTTCTTTTTTATTACATAGGTTAAGCTAGAATTTTTCATTTCCACAGAATGACTTTGGTCTAGAGTATTTCATCAAAATTTTTGCTGTGCTCTGTATGAGCATATATCCTTTTACTCAGAGGAAACTTCATTCTCTCAAACTTCCGGATACCTTACCAAGATAAAAAAAAGAATATTATGAAAAATTATATACCAACAAATTGAACAACTGAGAAGAAATGGATAAATTACTAGAAACATATAACTTTCCAAAATTGAACTGGGAAGAAACTGAAAACTTGAACAGACCAATCACTAGCACTGAAACTGAACCCAAAACTCCCAACAAACAAAAGTCCACAGATGGCTTCACAGATGAATTCTACCAAACATTTAAAGAAGAGTTAATACCAGGACACCAGGGTGGCTTAGTTGGTTAAGCATCTGACTCCTGATTTTAGCTCAGGTCATGATCTCATAGTTCGTGGGATTGAGCCCAATTTCGGGCTCTGCACTGACAGTGTGGACCCTGCTTGGGATTCTCTCTCTCCCTCTGTCTCTCCCTCCCTCCCTCTTGCCCCTTGCCTGCTTGTGCACACACATGCTCTCATTCTCAAAATTAGTAAACTTGAAAAAAATGAAGAGGAGTTAATACCTAGTCTGCTCAACTATTCCAAAAAATAAAAGAGGAAGAAAAATTTCCAAATTCATTCTACAAGGCCAGCACTACCCTGACACCTAAACCACCAAAACAAACAAACAAACAAAAAAAAACAAAACAAAAAAACTACAGCCAATATCTGATAAACATAGATGCAAAACTCCTTAACAAAATATTAGCAAACTGAATCCAACAATACATTCAAAAAAAATTCATTCACCACGATCAAAGAGATTTATTCCAGGGATGCAAGAATGATTCAATATTTACAAATCAATGTGACAGATCACATTAATAACAAAAAGGATAAAAACCATATGATCATTTTGACAGATGCAGAAAAAGCACATGACAGAGTACAATACCCATTCATGATAAAAACCTTCAGCAAAGTAGGTTTAGAGGGAACATACCTCAACATAGTAAAGGCCATATATGACAAACCTACAGCTAATATCACCTTCAATGGTGAAAAACTGAAAGCTTTCCTTCTAAGATCAAGAAGAAGACAAGGATGTCTACTCTCACTTTTATTCAACATAATACTGGAAGTCCTAGCCACAAGCAATCAAACAAGAAAAAGAAACAAAAGGCATCCAAATTGGTAAGGAAGAAGTAAAACTTTCACTCTTTGCAGGAAAAATAAATAAAAGAACTGTTCTTACAACAGTGACTTCCGCCCCAATAAAATCTAAACATCAGATTGGCTGACCTAAATGAAAAAGTGCTTTGACATTCGTATGGCTTGTGTGTCCACTGAATTTGGACGCTTTACTCCGTTATTATGGGTTTTGTTTGCTTCCTCTCAACACCAGGATTATGCTGAGAGAAAAATCGTTTCAAATAAAGCCTCAGGGAGGCACGAAAAAGAAGAAACACAAACTTAGAATGCTAATTACAAACTTTTTTAAATGTTTTTTTCTGTTCAGAAGTTGTCATCTCCACCTACTTCTTAAAAACTAGTGAGGCCAATAATCTCTACACAGTATCTTAAAGGATAATTAAGACACAACTGTAACACTTTGCACACAAAGCTACACACAGAAAATGGAGAAAAATGAGTGAGTCTTATGTAGTGAGAGACAGTTTGCTAAACAGGATGAAATAAATGTGTGAACTGAACATCGCACAAAACGTCACCACACAAAACGTCTATTAACAACAGACCACGGAGAAGAACATCATGCCCAAAAAAGAAAATGATTCCTATACAGAAATTTCTACAAATACACTAGGTGAAAGAAAAGTTTTAGTTTTAAACCTTCAGAAAAAGGCCAGCTGCTTTTTTACCCATTTCCAATATTCAAAACACAAATATACATGGGATAACCCTAGTATCTAATAAACTGCTTTAGTCTCTTAGAAACAGATTTAACAGAACCAACAGTGATTACTATTTATTCCCTTCAGCTCTTTTGCAATGCTATTATATATGTTTGTTTTACACTGACTCTTTATTGTCAGTTTCCTCATTTATTAATATTACTGGACTACTTCACCCACTCTTAGAAAAAAACACCATATGTCAAAGAAAAACATCAACTGATGACTTTTACTCAATAGATAACGTGTGAGGCCTACTAAACACTCTATAATGTTCTTGAACGAACACTGCCAAGAACTATCTTGTCTACCACGTGGAGGTTGGGAAAGGTTAAAGGAATTGTCCTAGTTCACGTACCTGGAAATAACAGCTAGGAGTAAAACTCAATTTTCATGTTTCAATCTCAACTTACTTTCAAATGACAAGAGCTAACCATATTTAACACCAGTGTCCAGGATGGGATAGCCATCGATGAAAAATAATGAACGATAAATTTTCTAGAGCAAACACCCAGAGGCTGAGGCTCACCTGCATGTGAGTGGGATAGGAGCTACCAGGAGCCTGAGCAGAAGGTGTGGGTGGTGAAGCAGGGGCAGCGGGGGTTGGTGCTGCGGCTGCTTGCGGGGTAGGTGCTGCTGCGGAATCCAGTGTGTAATTTTTAAAGGCCTCAATATCCTCAGGCCTAAGGAAGAGAAGGAATGGGTAAATACAGGGAGTTGTAAGGCAAGTTTAGCTCCTAGAAAAGTAGACTTAGGAACCTTTAACTCCTATTTTCTCAATTCTGGGTTAAAATACTCCACCAAGCATATAAGTTCCACAAATTACCAAAGTACTACTCACTTCTCAACTGTGATGCAGATGATTGCTCCAACTGGAACATCTCTGGTACCTTCAGCCACAAGTATCTTTGCCATGTAACACTCCTCCAGGCTCTCAAATCCAACAGTGGCCTTATCAGTTTCGACCTTTTAACACAAAGCAGGAGCTTAAGCTCGTGCTACCAGTATGAAATTTATTAGATTGTGCCTAGAATCACACAGTTCAACAGTCTGGTGAAGATGTGAAGATAAAGCCTCTATTATAGATCTGAAAGGAATTATTTAAAAAAAAAACACACCTTAGCTAAAAATCAGTCTGGCTAGTTGCTGACAGCATCTCTAATCAACCTTCTCTAATATCAGGTTGTAAAAACCATCTAAGTTTCTTAAGCAAAAAGAATAAGTACCTATCCGGAAAGCGAACACTCAGCGTAGCTAAGCCAGTTCCTTCTGACTCATTTCCATATTTTAAACAACTTACCTCTGCAATTAGTTCACCCTCATTGATTTTTTCCCCTTCCTTTTTTTCCCAACGGGCTATGGTGCCTGCCTGCATTGTGGGGGAAAGAGAGGGCAATGGAACCTGGAGGAAAAAAGGAGAAACAATAAATTTTAAAAATGTTATCTCTCAGTCTGGTTTAATATTTCATTCAATTTTACTTAATGCGAAGAGTGTACTGAGTCTCATCTCATGCCGGGCACTGGGGACAGAAAGGGAGTTCCTGCCACCAGTTCTCCAGTGACAGGGTTCCTGCTCCACAATCCTGTGGGACTGACAGAGCACCTAATTCAGCAGACACTGCACAAATAGATTCAGGTTTGGAACCCTTCTTTCAATGGACTAGATCAGGAGAGGGAAGCCTGGAATTCTTTCCCTTCAATAGAATAAACAGATCAGAAAGATAAGCTCAACAGCCAGAGCAAAGCTGGGTATTGGAGAACGGACAAATGATACATACTAGGAACGGGGTGGAGGATCACTGAGGACTCATAGAGAGAAGATTCCAACGCCAAGAAGTCTGCCCTGAAGGACAAACTGGCTCCCGTGAAGGGCAGGTCTGGGGCTCACCTTCTGATGCGGGGGCAGGCTGTAACAGCGGCGGCTAGGCGATCCCAAAAGCTGCAGCGCGAGGCGATTCCTCGGTGTGGCCCACGAGCTGGGGCTCCACCCGCAGAGGGCGCGGACCCTGCCATACCCCGCGGTCCCGCTGCTGCAACGAGCCGGAGCCGCGCCAGCCCGCGGGGTCACGCACGGAGCTCCCGGGTCCTCCCGCAAGGCGGTCCACCGAGCCCCGAATCCTGCCCTTGGGGCCACATTCCGTGCCCGTCGAGCACAGACTCGCCACATACTGCCAGCGACCCCCACAACCCAAAACCAAAGCCGTCTCCGGAGTGACCTCTCCAAGAGCAGTGCGGCGTTGCCGTCAGCCACACCGCGCAGCCGCACATTGTCGTAAAATGGGCTCCAAAAGGTTGGCGGCACCCCTCCCCAGACCAGAAATGGGTGGAACGTCCGCTGTTCTCCCGGTAGCGGGGTAACGGGTGGCCCACAGCGGGTAGGGGCGACTACTTTGGAGCCACGGGGGCAGGGGTGTTCCAGCGGAGGCAACGTAGGGGCAAGTTTGGGAGAAATGAGACGCAGGGAGGAGTAGGAAGGTGGAAGGGTCCTAAGGCATCTCAGGGTAAGACGGAGCCGCCAGGGAGGGGTCTAAAAAGGCGGCAAGAGCCGGCTACTAAAGGCAGAATGGTCTGAGAGGTGGGCTGAGGGGAGTGGCCAAGTTTTGAGAAAAGCGGAGTGGTGAGCGGGAGGACGCGCCTGATGCTGAGAGCCCGAGGCCAAGGGCGCGGTCTTGGAGCGCTGAGGAAGGTTTGGAGAGCGGAGCGGGTCAGCTCGTTTCTGTGGTGTAACCTCCCCCACCCCGCTCCCGCCCTTCCCGACCCTTCCGTGCTCAGGTGTGGGCCTCACTCGGTGCAGTCTGCGGGAGGTTACAAAGCTTTAGTTTCGCGTTTGTAGCGTAACCGGCAATCCCAGTGAACAGGTTTTCCAGCCAAATGAAGGGCAGCCAAACGGAACGTTAGTTTCCCCATTCGGCTGTGCTGTAACGGGACTAAGCGTAGGAAGATACAAGGTTACAAAACAGATTTGCGTTTCTAATCTATAGAATCCCTTTAGATTGCAAAAAACTTCGTTATGCTTGACATATTTCTTTTTTTTTTTTTTTAATTTTTACAATGCTCACTCATATTTTGAGAGCCAGAGCGTGACGGGGAGGGGCAGAGAGAGACGGAGACAATCTGAAGCAGGCTCTAGGCTCCGAGCTATAGGGCTCAGGCGCTCTGTGAGATTACGACTGAGCCCCCCAGGTGCCCCTGTTATGCTTGAAGTATTTCATACCGAAACTAAACTATAACCCCGTGAGAGCGGGGAGCATGTCTATATTGTTCTTTGATGTATCCCCGGAGTTTAGTATAGTATCTGGTAAGTAGTGGAGGTTGAGTTCGTGTGGTTTGAATTAATAAATGAAGTTACCTACAACATTTGTTAGGTACGCCTCTGTAGGATTATCATCCTGTAATTAAAAAAAAAAAAAAAAAAACTCATTTCTGAGCTGTATTTAGATCTCTAAGTCCCCAGTGTACAGATGGTCATAGAACACCAAGAACAAGAAAAAAAGGAAAAACCAACATTTGAAAATATGTCAACCTTTGCTAGTAATTAAACATTTGGAAAATTAAAGACAGTACTATTTCATACTCAAGTAGGAAACTGTAAAAAGTAAAAAATGAGATGGCAGAGAAAGAGATGCAGTTGTTGAGTGGACTGAATAGTTTTTTTTTTTTAATGAAGTTTGGTTTTCTTTTGTTATTTTATTATTTTTTTAATGTTTATTTATTTTTGAGAGAGAGAGGGAGACACAGAATCCGAAGCAGACTCCAGGCTCTAAGCTGTCAGCACAGAGCCATTCGCCGGGCTTGAACTCCATGAACCAAACTGCAAGATTAAGACCTGAGCTGAAGTTGGACGCTTAACCAACTGAGCCACCCAGGTGCCCCTGGTTGTTTTAAATACACATTTTTGAAAGTCTCTAATGTCTCTTTTGCATTAAAGACTTTTGTCATACAGGGGCTCCTGGGTGGCTCAGTCAGTCGGTTGGGTGTCCAACTTCAGCTCTGGTCATAATCTCATGGCTCATGGATTTGAGCCCCGCGTCGGGCTCTGTGCTGACAGCTCAGAGCCTGGAGCCTGCTTCAGATTCTGTGTCTCCCTCTCTCTCTGCCCCTTTCCTGCTCACACCCTGTCTCTCCTTCAAAAATAAACATTAAAAAAAAAAAAGACTTTTGTTATATAGTTAATGCTCAGGTTCTTATTTGTTTGCACATTTACATATAATTTCAAAAGAAGTGCTAAGTCAATGAATTTTCTTTGACAATAATAATGTTTCGTGCTTACATTTGAAATAACAACGGTAAAATATCTATAGCAATGAAGTAATCCTTATCTCCACTCCCCAAGTAATGAGTAAACATGCTACCAGGGAGATCACTTGAGGGAATGGACTTTCACTAAATGTAAATGGCTTTACTGATTAATTTCGGTCAATAAACACAAGTGAAAATGATGAATGGTATTTAGTTTGCAAACTCCATTTTATTCATGTTTTTTTCTGCTTTTTTAAAAATTAGTTCACAAATCTGGTACATACAGGCAGTTAAAAAACTGGTTATCGCTTTGATAATCAGAAGCCTCTGGTATAACACAGTCTTCATGAAAACATAAAACAGGGAGAATGCATGGTGGTAATCTCTTTGAAAGCAATGCTTGCAAACATCCATGTTTCTAAGAAAAATATAATTTTACATATATATTTTGAGCAAGCTATACCTCTTACATAAATTCAGACAATAGGAGTGTGCAATCATAATGCTTATTTTATGGAAAAAATGAAATTTATAACTATGCCATGAATGCTTTTCAGTAATTATTAGAGTCCTCTTGGATTTGATATGTTTTCCCTAATTTTCAACTATCCTGGTCAAAAGGAGCTGAAATGGTAGTAAGTAGGAATGCCAATAAGGAGAGTTTAACTCAAATTCTTTAGGTACAAATTATATAATGTTCCAATTCCAGCTAATTTAGGGAACTGAGAATAGGTGTCAATTTTTAAATGATGACTTTTGAGGAACTGAGCTTTCTTCTAAACTAGTTTTTGTGAGAGGATCGTTTTTTTTTTTTAATCTAACAGGATTTAGAGGTTATGTGAGCTCAAGACATTCTAGTCCCTTGGTTTTTTCAAAGAGAATTTCAGCAGTGTCAGGATGGACTACCCCTCAAAAATGTCACTAGGGGACAGTTCTCTAAATAAATCAAGAGGCTCCTAGTGCAGCCAGAGTAACAAACAGCAATCAATTCAAACCAGAAGGAACCAAAGCACAACACTTCCTCACAAGGTTCTGGTCTTCAGAAACTGGAATGAGGATTGCCAATACACTGTACACAGGAATTACTGGAGTGACATCCTGTCATCCGGGTGTTTCGTTATTACCTGTGGCATAGGAGATTCATGAGCTAAAGGGGGAAAAATGATCTCATTTTCTCCCCTGACTTCAACTTCAGATTTCTATAGAGGCTCTAAGGCCATGCATCTCCTCTTCCAAAGGACAGAGCTATAAAAGCCAAATAAGGTGAAGGACTTTGGCATTTTTCTTCCACTCAATTTTCTCTGAAAAGTTAAATTCTCCATAACGGTAAGGACGTTTGCTCAAAGAAAACTGACAAGCAAAAACTAAAGAAACAGACATTCAAGATCAATTGTACTGGAAATACAGTAATGGATTTTGGCCTGACAACTCTCATGCTGTCTTATAGTAAAACACTAAAATTCATGCAACAGAGAAATTGGTGACATGAGGACTTTTACTCCAGACTTCCTGGGGGAAAAAAACACTCAGAATATACTGTTTTCTTCTGTTTGCTTCATAATGTATTATTCTTGCTTTTGACTGACTGTCCCAAACTTTCCCAGTCATTTTTGATGAGAAATTCTTCAAAAGGAGAAGATCAAGTGAACTTACTGAAAGATATCAGGTATCTTATGAGCTCCTTCATCTGCTAGAGGAGCAATCAAATAGATTATGTAAAACTATCTCCACAAGATAAAACTACCTCCACAAGGAAAATGGCAGGTAGAATTAGAACCAGGAGTTAGTTGTCATCAGCATACTTGTAACAAAATAAAGCTTGTTCTGAAACCACAAGGGCTAAGAGAAGAGCCTGTATAAAAGCTACTGGGTTCTCTAGAAAATGGATACAGTATCAGAATGTGAGAAGATACAGAACTCACACTCAAGTTACAAAAATAGACATGGTTCTCAGACAAAAGGCAAATGAGTACAAAAGAATTCTCCAAACATGAACTATTTTTAAAAGACACATCTATATAAAACAACAAAATGTCATTTCAGAGCTCCAGTGAGTAGTTTGTTAAAACAGTTGGAAAAGGGAGATGAAATAGAGACAGACACATCAAGAACCCAGAACTGACATGTCTGACTCTTCTGGTTGGCAGTGGTCACAGGCTGACTGCTTCGGGGAATGAATGAATGTGTGTGTGTGTGTGTGTGTGTGTGTGTGTGTGTGTGTGTGTGTGTGTGTACATACATATATATACATATGGCTGATTAGTTGATGGTGTTTGGTAAGTGACGGAGAAAACCCTAGTTATTCAGTAATCTCTGAAAGTTTAACTCTTCTTTTAGCTTCTACACTGGACAGTGTTGCACATGAGAAAGGATTCTAGGTTTTTTACCCAGAATCAACCCTGCCATTCACAACTCATGCTCCATGCCCCATGGTTCCTATTGTGCCCTAAAGGATCAACCTAGACTAAATATATAATAGAAAATAACTCTGGCCTTGAAATGAGGAGGGGCAGACCAGTGACTCATGCTCAGTACTCATAAATCACAAATACCAAAAGTAATGGTCTGTCTCCTTTTGACTGAAGAGGAGATGCCACGAGCTACAGGAAGTCATGAGAGAAAGAAAGTCAAGAAAATATGGGTAGCAGCACCTTTCCATACCCGCCTGGATTTTTAAGGAGACTTTAAACTCCTTTTTCTTTCAAACACAAAGTTCATCAGTTGGAAGGGGAAAACATGGCTCTACAGTGACAGAGTCCCTAGAGAAAACTGGCAGTACATGAAACATGCCCTCCATGGGCTAAAGGACAAGTTGCAGAACCAGTTAAGACACAAGAGGCAGCCAAAGGTCTTCCTCAATCGTGGTTTTAGCAAGTATAGCACGATATGGGCTTTTTCCATCCAGTCAACAGTTCAGCACCATCCATGTCCGGTCCAAAAAATTCCTGAAGAGTGGGTTTTCATCTTTGGTACCGCCTCATGAGTTATTCTTGGTTTGCAATAGCTGCAAAGAAGCAAAAAAGCTGGTACCTTTGCCTTGTCTGTGAGTACAAATGCTGGGACTCTGATTGCTGCAACCATTGAGGCCAATTAAAATAAAACTGTAACACACAGGAGTGATGCATCCAATTCCCAGGTTCCAGATAATAGCAGCCATGCCCCTACAGGAGCGGGATCATCCATTCCCATTGGTTAAGGCCTTTGGTTTGTTGTCCTCAGAGTAGAATAAAACACTGTGTTCCCACGGACAAGGAACTCCAGATGGACCCATGGTCTACAGTTGACAGGGGTTTTAAAAAATGTACTACATATACCAGGCACAGAAACAGCACTGGCCTGGGGCTGTTACACTTGGAGAAGCTTCTGTTTTGGTAGCACGAACTAGAAACTTCTTAGTGTATTTTAGTCCTCTTTCCTGAGTGAAACAGCCAGGGGGCGCCAAGTTCCACAAGCCCCCAGTCTAATACTCAGCATTAATTCTCTCCATGGTCTTCTTCCACCCAGGCTACAATTTTCCCTTCCCAACCAGGGATGGCATCGTCATCGTGGAAAACCTAGAGGAAGAAAAAGAAGCCACAGTGAAAAAATAACAGGATAAGACAGTGACCCTCACTAGACAACTGCTGCTGCTAAAAGTAAGATCTCAAACATAAAGGATAAGAAAATATAGAGAAAAGCTTGAAGCTAGAGGCTATGTATGCCCCTTTGGTTCTGTCCCTAAAGTTGTAACTACATATTTATGTATTTAATATTTTTAATGCATGCAATACATTATTATATGTTATTATGTACTATATATTCTTAGTTCTACATCTATGAAATGGTAAAAGCATCCCTAACTCTGCTTTGCTCATGGAGATCAAGAAGATTTAATATATTACTAACCATGAAGCACTTTGGGCTCCTTGGGAGAAAGCAGTAGCATAAGCATTACACAAGTGAGAAAGGGGAACATTTCGGTCCCAAGTATTATAAAGAAAGGGTTAGAAAGAAGACCAAAAGAACATGCAGTTCTTTTTATTCATTCATTCACTTCATTTCGTAAGCCACCAATACAACAGGGCTATTAAAGCATGATGAGGAAATATTTATGAAATAAAACATCAGCTTTAATCACAATGCAACCACTTGTAATATGTCAGAACCCAGAATTCTCTTCCCTGTATATGGCAGATGGATTATAAAGAGAGGCGTAGGCTAAGAATATAGCCAAGGAGTTGAGAATAAGCATAGGTGATTTTCTAGAAGTTCCTCATTTTCATTATCTGAGAAACTACCATCACAATGTACAGTTCCATATATTCATACCTATTTTACTCTATGTAGGAAGCAGAAAGGTTTCTCAGATTTGACTGCACATAGAAAAGGGACCCCTGAACCAGGCGTTTGTTCAAGCTTAGGTCCTTTCCTTTTTAAAATCAGTAACTGTATCCAAGTCTGGTCAAAGTGGTTAAGTCCTTGAACCGAAGAAGCTGTCAACTCCTTGTGCAATTCCCTGACCATCTAGGTCTAGGGTAATCAGACTGTGGTCTGAGGCTCTGGGAAATTCTGCTGACCTGGTTAGGGAACTCGGGTACTGCTGGGTATCAGTCCCTGAGGAGGTGGCTCTGGGAATCAGCAGCACACCACCCAGACTCCCCTCGGATTCTGTACCTCCTCTTTGACAGTGCCAAACTCAGGATCCAGCGCTTTAAAATGATACCGGTGATTCCCCTCCCGGTCAATGGCTGCTTTAAAATCCTTTAGTGTCACCTCCCCCAACCTGCAACAAAAGGCAAGAGCGCTAAAACAGACTGTTCATCAATAGGCTGGAAAGATGAGACGTTAGCTTTAAACCCAGGCCCCTGCCAAAGACTCTCCAGGAAAAAACAGCATGGCCTTGTTAGGTCCCTGCCCCTGATAACCCAGACAATTCTACAAGAGCAGAGCTGAGGGAGCCAGTCACCATGAGGGAATGAGAATGGCATTCCATCTGGGGTGATCTGGGAATTTAAAAGAGATGTATTGTTTCAGCAGCAGCCAAATCACTTTTCCCTGTTTTACTCTGGAAATAAGACATACGGTATCGGAGATCTAATTTGCTGAGCCATCAATATGTCTAAGTTCTCCTGATTTCCTTCTCTGCAACAATGTTCCATTTCACCATCTTCATCCTTCCAGCTTCAGAAAGCTCCCCTCTAGCCCACAACAAGTAAGCAAACTCTCTAGGAAAGGGGCAGCCTACTCCTTCTCTCAGTAGTTGTTTCCAGAGTTAAAAAAAAAAAAAATCTTTCTTTCAAAGCCATTTGCCTTACAAGGGAGCATAAATGAATGTTTGAAGGCTGTTAACGTGAATTCTCAACTGCTCAGATGCAGTCATCAGACAGTACCAAGATCAGTGAGGAACAGCCTGGAGGGCTAGTGTGTGATCTATGGCTATCAGCGGAGCTATTTTATGAGCCCTTAAAAAAATTATTTTTCCTAACTTGGAACATATCTGTGTATCAGGACTGGAAGCGTTATTACGGTGTCTGTACCCAGAAGCAGATCAAGACATGTCCCTTGTAGTGCCACTGGTTAGTGGTAACAATGAGACTAGAATCCTGATCCTGTATTCTTACTGCACTCTACCGATTCTCAAACACTGCTCAGATGGTTGCATGGGCAGTAACTACTGATTCTGCCTCCTGTCCTTTTTAAAAGAGGAATAACGATCCCAGAATCTCACCTCTTTGGTATATTGACCATGAAGGGTGTAAGTGACCGGTCAGTGAAATAGAGCACTTTAGTGCAGGTGCTGCTGACAGCCGGAGAGCTCTGTGAGTGAGGCAACTCTGCAATCAGAGAAAGACTCTATGGTCAGAACCGAATGTGCTCCCAACCATCCCACATTTCCAGTTATTCAGAGTGTCCCAGGAGAAGGAAGCTGCCTGAGGTCACAGCACAGCTTTCACACCCTTGCAAAACACCACGTCCATAGGGCGTGAGCCACAGGAAGTCACCACTGAGGCCACAAAGCCAGGAGGTGCTTCGGACATGGACACTATCATGAAGCCATTTCTCACCCGTTCCAGGTTATTTCTAACAGGGAACAGGAACTTTCCTGACAGGCATTGTTGCTCAGAGTCAAAAGAGGTCAAAGAAGCCAGGCAAGATTTCAGCAAAGGAAGAATGGACGCAATAGCAGGAGCTACAGACACAGCCAACATTCAGACAGTGGGAGAAAATGCTCATGCAATCCACGGACAGAGAAATGAGCAGGGACGAGAATCACAGGAGCACAGTAACGTTAGAAACTGAGATTCCAAGGGGGCCTTATGCTTCCTGTACCAAAGGTACGAGACCAGGGTGCCTGGGTGGCTCAGCTGGTTAAGTGACCACCTGTGCTGACAGCACAGAGCCTGCGTGGGAGTCTCTCTCTCCCTCTCTTTCTCTGTCCTTCCCCTGCTAGCATGCTCTCTCTCTCTCAAACTAAATAAATAAACTTAAAAAAATAAAAATAAAGGTACAAGACCTACCTTATCTCTTGGCTACACAGGATCTATATGTGTGGGTCCCATGGTTTTTAACTCAAATTCCTTGGTCCACATCTTATCTCTACCCTTTGTATAGGTACTTAAGGAAAATTTTTAATTAATAAGTACCTATGATTATGACTTTAATAGGAGAAAAGACTAATTAGAAACTTTTATCATAAGAACAAACAACAATTATTGTTGTATCTTATAATCTACTTAATGTAATTGTTATAATACTAAAATCTCTCCTGCAATTCCTCTTACACATATTTTCTTAACCTATTCTAGGCATTTCAACATCCTTGTCATATCTGAGTCTACTCTCACGTAGACACTGATGGACTCTTAACAGTGGCTTGCATCTTTCTTGCTTTTGTGGATGTCTCCTAATTTACTACTGAATGTCAGACATCATATGTAAGACAGTAGAGAGTGACTTACAAAATGTTTATGTTTAGAAATGCACACACTGCTTGTTCCCCAGCCATTAGTAGGGATTGTTAATCTAGACAGGAATTGAGCTGGGATTGGGATTTTTGTTAAGGTTACTTTTGGTGTACCACCATCTTTAAATTCCTCTAGAGTTATGTTTATTTAAAAACAGATTTAAAAAATAAATAAAAATAAAAGGATTCACCCAACTTCTATCCTTTTGTGTCTGACATCATTCACTTAACAGAACGTTTTCAAGGTTTATCCATGTTACAACATGTTATCAGTGCTTCATTCCTTTCTGTGGACGGATAATATTCCATTGTCTGCATGTGCCAGACTTTGATGATCCATTCTTTGAGTAATGAACATTTGGGTTGTTTCTACCTTTTAGCTATTGTGAATAATGCTATGTACAAGTTTTTGTGTTTGTTTGTTTTTTTTTTTTTTTTGAATTCTTGCCTTTAATTCTTTTGAGTATTGACACCTAGGAATGGAATTGCTGGCTCATACAGTAACTCTATATTTAGGTTTTTGAGGAACCACCAAACTTTTCCACAGCAGCTGTATCATTTTATATCCCCACCAGCAATGCATGAGCATTCCAATTTCTCAACATCCTCAATACTTATTTTCCATTTCTTTAGAACCACCTAGTGAGCGTGAAGTGGTATCTCACTGTAGTTTTGATGTGCATTCCCTAATGACTAATGGTTTTTGGTTTTGTTTTGTTTTTCTTTCAGTTTTTATTTATTTATTTTGAGAGAGAGAGGGAGAGAGAGCAAGAGAGCGCACCCGCCAGC